AAGGAAGGGCGTTATTTTGTTCCTTGAATGTTCAATTTAATAGATAAGACAATTCTCTTTGAGCGTCACTAGAGAATATTTCCTCTTATAGGCATTACAAAGAACTCATTCCAACTAGCACGCAATCTCAGCAAAAACCAAAAACACCGTAAAATCAATATGCTCTCATCTAACGGGAATAAAACAGGTTCATTTTTTTTCTTTTAAAAGAGAAAATCTTTGTCAAATCTATTCAGAAGTCGAAATAATAAAAAATCTCACTTACCGTTGGGAAGTAAACCTCTTCTAGTGATACTTGAGTTGAGAATTAAGCGGCCCGGGACTTTGTAAAGCAAGAACTTGAATGCACTGCTCTTTTCCAGTCTGCCTTACCGGCTACTCTTGATGGGTAGTATTGTTCTGCCAGAGTTGCAGGACGATGGCTATTGTGTCAAAGCTGCCCGCCTGGGTATATACTTAAAATATTGTTCTTTTGTTTAGGCAGAAAACATTTGGCGTTTACCCACCTCACGCAATTACAAGTGTCAAAATAACTCTGACTTTTTATTAATCACTTTTCCTGTTTCTCTGTGTGGGTAAATGGAAATTAATGAACAGCTGACGAATTCTTGACCTCGTGCGCAACTCAGTCATGCCGGCGAATCGAGATTAGCATTTCTGTTTTTTCGGGTAAGGTTTACAAAATTACGTGCAAACACCGCAAGAAATGTATTTGCAGAGGGACCATGATGTGTAAATTCCTTTTTAACCCGGGAGTTAAAAGTTAACAGTCGAGTACATAGTTCCCAGTACAACTGATTTAATAACATTATTAAATCGATCTCCCAAAAAGGGGCTTTCGAGAAACAATTTTTCATCCAAAACATTGAGATACAAACTAGTTATGATGTCCATGAAACGGTGGATACTGGCATTAGTATAGTAAAATTTCTCACATTAAAGCTAAGAAGCACAATTTGAAAAAGACGGAAACAGCTAAAATCTCTCGTGAATTATTTGAATGGCGAGATATATTTTCCTTGTTTAGTCTTAGTTCACACATATTGCTTGGATTCGTCAGTGATCGAAAAAAAAAGTTTTTTTCCGAAACTGAAAATTGCGGGCAGGCTGCTTTTTATCTGAGATGACGCTCTATCTTTATTTTTCTTGGTAAACAAAATACCGGCCGAGGTGTAGAGAGAATATATGAGAGCTGCTAAAATTGGGCATGATCTTAGGTTAGCAACTGACTGCTGATTTCTTTCGGTTATCACTTCAAAACAATGAAGACACCGCTGAATAATAGCCTTTCTAGACCCTTCCAAGTCCATCTAGCCTGCGTAGCAAGCCGCGTTTCTGTGTTGTTTCGGCACTTTTGGAGCAAAAAACAAGGAGCGAGAGTCAAAGACCAGGTGAAAAATGACGCGACCAAACGAGCGAGGAAGTGCTAGGGAAGAAAGGTCCGTCAGATTCTTTTAGAATTTCACTTTCAAATTGTTTAATTTAAAGATGATCGAGTGGGTATTGAGTAGTTCTATATTTATCTTATCCTGTTTAAAATTATAGACTAAAACAAAAAAGTGTTTTGACTTGTATGTAAATGTTATTTTTATTTTAACCTGCATTTTCTTCCATTTTACACGGCCCCCCCAAATTTCAAGCTTTTCCCTCTTACTTCAATACTTCCTTGCTCTCCTACTTTCTTTCATATATACGCTGCTATCATTATCATTATAACTAATGTACGAACCAAAAAACAAAACAAAACGAAACAAAACAAAGACAAAAAACAGTTGCTACTTTTATCGCCGGTCTAGAAAGCAGCAACAGCGATATTTCGAGAATTAAAACACCTTTTCTCTTATTTTCCAGACATGTGTCGAGGGTACGTACACCGTTATCATCATCAGTGCGCGCGAGTCGATTAACGAGTAAAAATTTCGTTTCAGAATTTCGTTCACAATAGGACCATTTATACGCGTCTTAAATAAGACGCGAACTTTCCGTATAAACGGCACATTTGGTCTAAAATAAGACGCGGCTTAGCTAAGACGCGTCTTATTTTAGAACAGCCCTTAACACTTGTTCTTAGATAGACGCATCTTAGCTAAGACGAGAAAAACTTCGTATAAATGACCTTCGCGTCTTACATAAGACGCGAACGCATAGTACGCATGCGTTAATTTTTGGCGCGCCACGTTGGATTGCCGTTGCTACGGGCAACATTCACATGAAAACGAATCAAGAACAGAAATAAGACGTGAACCATTTATACGAGCTGTTCTCGTCTTAGATAAGACATGCTCGTATAAATGGTACAGTTCGCGTCTTATTTTTCCTCGTATAAATGGCCCTAATGTTGCGGAAGTTTAAAATGATTCATGACGTAGAGGATCTTACAGCGCGGACAGTCAGTTTTATCTATTCACCTGCCGTCGATTGAGGTCGGGTTTCTCCCTTGTATCATATAAATAGATTCTGTAAGTTTTTTGAATTTAATCTTAAGTTCTCTTCTATATTGTCTTTACCAGTATGCAGTTTAAAAACGCCTGAATGTTTAAAAAACCTTCCACAAAAAGGCTAGCCAGTGAAGGTACAACTGAAAAATACCCTACACTTTTTCTTAAAAACTTCATATGTATGACGCACTGAAAAAAATCATGTTAGTCTGAATTTAACTTCACGGAATTACTGTAATTGACAACAAAATCCAACCATTTATTTGCCAAGTTAAAAAAAGCGGTTTACAAGAACAGAATAAATTAAAGTATTATAGATCAGGCCAAAAACTACCCAGAATAGCAAAAACTGAGCGAGCTGAGTAGTTACAATAATCAAATTGTATTCTCTATATGGTTGTGACACATGAAAAATAGAGGAAAAAAAGAGAAGGAAAATAAATTAAATTTAGGAGAATAAAAAAATAAATAAGAATAAAACAAAACGGTACCAGAGAGAAAGATAACTATAAAGTTAACCTTAATGATAAGTTGACTTTGATGCTAGCCCAGTACTAGCCATGCTAAATATTGAATCGAAACTGTGCTAACTCCATAATAATATTATAGCGAATAGACGGTCTAGTCTGAACCTCAACTGTACTAATGATTTGCATGGTTCTTCTCATTTCAGTTTTATATAGTATCAAAGTAACCCCGCGAGTTATACAGGGGCTTTTTTCCTGCTACAGTCGAACTTCACGTATATAAGCGACCACCCAAAAAGCGAAGAATTAGTGGTCGACTCACTTACGGGAGGTGGTTGCTTACGAAAATTGACCCACAGAGGTGTCTCTTCCTAGAATATGTTTGAACACATTTACATCTTGCCTTTTGGAGGAGATTCATTGCATGCAATTTCTTTAAGCCATTATCCAAAAAAGCGGTAGAGGTTGCTTGATGAGAGGTGGTCATTTATGAGAAAGTTCCAACTGTAGTGATTTCTCTGAGTATATTTTGGTGTTTTGCTAGTTTTGGATAAGTTGTGGTCTGAACGCATGCCCAAAACTAGCTAATGCTGCAATTTTTTTGATTAGGCCTTGTTCGCTCCACGCAAAATTTTGTTTGTTATGCAAAAAAGTCTGTCAACAGGAGGCCACTTCTACGGCTAACGATTTTTTTCCACCAACCAAAATTTTCTCAACTGCCAGCAAACTTCAAAAATACCGTCGAGAATCAGAGGAGGCCTAAAATTTTTTTGCCAGGCAACAAAATCCTTTGTTCTTTGACACGAGTATCCTTTTTTCGGATCATCTTATTTTGCGCACATAACCATTTCAATGACTTTTCTGGTTATTCGAAAAATTTCGCGTGTCAGATGCCGCGAACAAGGGTGAAAAACGAAAAATTGGTGATTACAAAAATTTCGTTGTGATTCGGTGCCAAACTAACTCTCTGGTTAAAATAGACTCTTCCACGGCTTTTCAGTTTAAAAACTTTTGACATTCTTAGAATCACCACTTTCAGGAGCTCATAACCCGGAGCGAACAACTTCCATGCTCTCGTGTCATGGCGTTTTCACTGACCAGTTTATTTTTAGAACGTTTTTGGAGCGAATTTTGAATATCTTTTAAATTCCACAAACCAGTCAGCAAAACCTACAGACCTAAAAATGACATTTTTTGCCTTTTAATAATGTTTAGTTTTCCTTTTTGATATCTTATACTTCGAATGCGCTCATAGACATGGTACCAAGAACAAGAAGTCCAAAGACTACTGCAAAGCTGATTTAAAACAACGTATATTGTTTTTTATAACAATATTTCGACTGGCCATACCAGCCTTCTTCAGGTTTACAGATGTTACTGAACTTATGTAGCAATCACAATATTATATAAATGGAGAATGTCGCAATAAAAGGGAGAGGCGGAAATGAAGTACAACATAAAAACTGGAAAGGAAAAATACTAAGGATATGGATTACAATAATTCGTCACAGCGGTTTAGGCCATGAGGTTCAAGAGTCATGGCCTTATCTATCAAATGCGACTCCCTGGCCTTACGAACTGAGTCACGTGAAGAATGAATTTCCCGTAGTGGGATTAACTGCATGTCAGTATGAGAATTGTTAGAGTGAGAGAGAAAGTGTTCCGCAGAAACAGTAGTGGGTTTAGATTTAATGTTAGTTTTGTCGACTGCACGTCTGTGTTCGTTAAATCTGTCCTTGAGATGTCGCTTAGTTTCACCTATATATTTTAAATTACAATGGTTACATTGAACCATGTAGATCACATTTTTAGTGTTACAAGTAATGTGTGAAGTGATGGAGCGTGTTTCACCTATAGCGCAAAAGGTATAGACATGACAGAGACTATTTTCGTGGGACAAAGTGCCCTAATAATAATAATAATAATAATAGAATTTATATAGCGCTTATACATCGCTGTTCTAAGCGCTAAAAATAAACTGGTTCGTAAAAATGCCGTGACATATGCTTAGTACGGGAGTTTCTCGCTTCTGGTTATGGGCTCCTGTCCCCCACAACAGCGAAAAGCCTGGTAACCAGTTTAAAAACTCCAATCATTCCAAAATGGCGGATGTCTTGCTTGGGAAAGGAAAACTGAAGCCGTAAATATGAGATTTAATCAAAAAGAGCTCGCTTTTATCGCCACCCGGACAGACATACCATTTGACAAAGAGGGCGTCTTGTGGTTAAAAGAAAAAGAAGGACACTTTTGGCAGCGAAACGAAGGTAACTATGTTACAGATGATTTTACGATAAAATCAGCTGGGAGCTCGCTGAAGTTGTCACAAAATCATCAATCACAACAGTGAATGTTTGACTCGAAATTTCCCACTGCTACCTTGTCTTGTTTAAATTCATTGCATTTATTACATTTACTGCGCTGTGGTGAAGCGTTACGGAGGAGACAACGGAGTTTTCTAACGTTTCGCAGTTCCTCTTTTCCGTTTTGGAGTAAAACTGCATGATACTTGAGCTTACAGCACTTTAATTGCGTTACGGGAAAACAGTGGCTACGCGTTGAAATTCAAGAGTAGAAGAGGTCTTGAAAGTTGGAAATTTGGTAGAATATTTTGCAGTGGAGCTCATTTTGTTAGCTTAAGTCAGCTTAGGCTCCGTTACTTTTCGACCTATTTTGCTTCACATATTTTAAAATTTTAAGCAACCGGAAACCACGTTTGGAATCCTCCAAAATTTGATTGGCACTTTCTGTTGTAAAAGTTAAATGTCATTTCCAGAACTCTTCTACCTTGCAAACAGAGCCACTATATTTAATTTTGGTAAGATTTCCACACAGCCTCATGTTTCGACTCAATTTGTATTTTCAGTCTGTGTGAAATATTATGAGATTGATGCAATAATCAAATTGTATTTTTAACACGGCTTCTGATATTTCCTGCGGCCGGCAGAGCCGCAAAATTCAGGTAAATCTGTGAAATCCTGTGAAATTCACAAAAACATGCAAAATACAACATACTTGAAACTTTGGCTTTTGGGGCTGTTTAATTGCCATAAACTTGCAAATTTATCTTGAAACTTCTTTACCACAATGAGGGAACAACTTTCCAAAACTACCAGGTGTAAATTATGTTGCAAAAAACTCGGCACTAGTCATGATGTTAAAAGCTTTGCTATTGGCTCATTTCTCGAGCGCTTTGTTGTTAAAATATCAAATAATTATCAATCAAGCTCGAGCTAAATTTGCCCAGAAAATTCCCATGAAATCGGCAAAATTGGCAAAATCGAAATTTTAGCGATTGTTTTCCGGGGAAGTTAGCCCCAAGAATTCTGCTAAATCCCTGCGAAATCGGCTGACTTTTTTGTGAATCTGTCTCTGAAAATTCCACAAAATTTGGCTTTAATTTTTAATTTGAGTTGTCAGAAGCCCTATTTTAATAATTACTGGGAACAAATAATAGCAGCAATAGCACATATTGTTTCCTTAACTTTATTCAATTTGGTTTGACTGGGGAAGGAGGGGGGGGGGGTATTATCTGGACGAGTACAATAATAAATATTTATAGTAAATTTGTTCTTGTGAGTGTTATCTTTGGCTATATTGATTAAACCTCTGTAAAGTATTTGTGCTGCATTACTTTAAGCTTCAAAGAAAGAAAATCATCTTGGCATGTTGTTTGTGCCTTTTGTTTCAGTATATACAGAAAGATGGTTCCGTCTGCGTGGAAATCTGTTGTTTTACTTTAAGACAAAGGACAAGGTCTGAAAGCCATGGCATTAACTTTTTAAGTCCCAATAGTGACCAACATCAATTTTCTCCTAACAATATCCATAGATTGTCAAGTGCAACATCTATGAGAATTAATCAAATGATCACAAAGAGAAAAATCTCTGATCTTTTATCAATTTCTCCCAACTAATTCTGTAAGGAAATGGATAGAGATCAGTATGGAGAATTTGTTTGTGGATATTTGGGCTTAAAGGGTTAATTCACTATTTGCTAGACTGAGTGATGGTCATAGATCCTACTTCTCAAATAAATTGGTGTAGAGTCTAAGAAGGGCAGAAAATGCGGTTCAAGCATTTTCCTATGAGCTGTTTGTGGGTCAAAGACAGTACTTACATTTCTCAGTTATTTTATCAGTACCCTGAGTATTGGTCCAACCCTGGAAATCAAACACATGGGCTCCTACTCGGCAGTCAAGCGCTCCACCAACTGAGCTAATCCTGAACTCAGGAATACAATATTTTCCTTCAAGTTTTTTAATTGTCAAAAATTGTCCATTACTCTATACTATCCAGCTTTAAAAGAATTTTAAAGAATGTACATGGTTTGTGTAGAATTCAGATCCTGCAGGAGCAATTGTGCTGGAAAGATGTCGGGTCTTAAAAGATTCATCTCCTCAAAAGAAGCATGGATTCACAATCGGTGGGTACATTATAGTACAGTTCAGGGCTGTCAATATATATACGGTACATAGAGGCAGGGACCGGGGATTTCCACCACCTACTATGAATGTGGCCCCGGCTACTTTCAAAGGAAAATGGAAGAATAATAGAACCAAAAGAAACCCTTAGCTGTTTGATTCCCCTTCTACTTGTTGTATCTACCCGGCAACTTGAAAATCTTAGTGACAAGCCTGACAGTTAAATCCTCTAGTCAGTAATCATGTTACCATAGAGTTGCATTGGCGACCACATGGTCAACCAAGGCAGAGAAACACTCTTACTTTTTTGTGTAGACCTCTTTGTCTACTCAATGGAGACTTTTAATACTCAAGGGTGTGTCTGGCTAACATTGTTGGAGCATTGTTGATTTAAGGGAGAATGTTCTATTTTGGTCAGAATGCGTGAGTAGGTCTTGGTCAGTTCTTTAATTTTTTGTCAGTATAGATATAACGTAATGTCATGACAGTTGTTGCTTATTCTGTTTGTGCTGACAGTGTTTGATGAGGATGACACACAAAGATATCATTTGAATGGAAAGTCAACAAAAGAGACAGATGAATGGATGGAAAAGATAAGAAATGCAAGGTATATTCATGCATTTTGCCCCCAAACTGGTAGCCCAAAAAAAACCCTCCATTTTTAGCCTTGTGAAAGTTGCCCTAAAAAACTATTCAAAGTAACTATCTATTCTTTTTAAACAATGGATAATTTTTCCATAATAAGCCCCTCTAAAAATTTGTTCAGAAAAAGTCTGAGGGTGTGTATTTTCTGTATAGTGAATGGAAGGTTAATGTATTCATTTTTGGATAATTTTATAACTATATTTGTTCAGAAAAAAGCTGTCAGTATAGTGAATGGGAGGTTAAAAATTCATTTTTCAAAATCATATTTTGTGTGTCAGCAAAAGACCTTTTCAGTTTTTTTTTTTGCAATTACGGGTGACCTATAGAAAAAGATCTACAACACTGGCATACAAATTTTGCTGAACCTTGATTATATGAGCCAACTTCATGAACATGCAGTGTGCTAGCTACAACCCCGGACAAAACCTGTTGAGACAAATCGCAAAAATGCCTATTTTTCCTGTCATCCTGGCAAAAACTGAATCCTCCACCAAATAAATGCCCGATTTCCCTCCTTCCCTTATCCAGCCCCTTAATATCCAAAGTTGTTTAGGATAGCATGGAAATTATTAAAACATGTTGGCTTTTAGACCTGATGAGGGGGCTTACTTTTTCTGTTTAGAGGAGATGGGAGTAGGGCACGAAAGTTAGAAAATAGATGGATTCATTGCCTATTTCACTAATTAGCTCTCCTTCTATATTTGTTTCTTGAAAAAAAATTTAAGAATTATCTCACTGATAGCCGATCTGTCGCTTAATTTTCTGATCTTGCTCACTCTGCACTCAGCCATGAATTTAGTTCATTAGGTAGTTGAAGGAAGCCTATTAGTATAAGCTTCAAGCTTCGTTAGGCTTCCTTGTCTCATTAATTTTATAATTTAATTAACAACTTTTGTTCATGTTGTATAAGGTTTTGTGAGTGACTAAATAAATAAATAAATAAATAAACAGTTTTGTCCGGGGTTGTAGCTCCAGGATGATTTGCAAAAGTATCCCATAAAAACTTTTTTTAAATTCTTTTTTCTTCAAGTTATGAAAGTTTAAGAAACAAACTGTTAAGTTTGAGAAAGCAGCTAATGGAAATCACTGGAAAGGTATAGTTTGTATCTTTTTTTAAATATGAATAAAGTTATTTATAATATTGTTTCCTTTTTTTCTTGGCTACTGATCTTTACCCTCATTTTGTTAATATTCAGGATCCTTTACCAGAATTCCACCCCTTAGCTCAACAGGAGGTAATGTACATTGTTTGCATAGCAGTAATAGTATTGTGTTAGCAGGAAAACTCTAAACATTGTTTATTTTACATTTATATATTTGTGTCAACTGATGGCATTGTTTTTTGCAATGAATTGTACTTCTCAAAGGCAGACACAGTTAAGCGGTTCACCTATTTTGAACTTGCCACAGAAGACAGAGTGTGATTCTCTTATTAAATTATAGAGAACATGGAACAGAGTGTAGATAAATCATATGAATGTACCAGACTACATCATTAGTATTATAATACTATTTGTTTATCCCAAAACTTCATTTCCTCATTGCAGCTGGCATTGGTTAACTCATTCTGGCATAATGTTTACATTTTATTTGTAAGCTATTAGGCTGACAAATTTATTGCTTTGGTTTTGACATGGGCATTAGTTACCCTGTGTACTTGCAGGTGTACATAACTGTTTTGTAATGGGTGTGTCCATGTGAGATCCTGGGTGTTAACATGACGGGGGTTCCACTCTATGATAGACTGTGATTTATTAGAAATAATATATAGTCATTTATTTTGCTGTAGCCACTGAAGCCTGGCATTGGTCAGTATTCATCCACTAGTGCAGCAGATGCAGACGAAACTCCATTCCTAGAAATGTGCATCGGTAAGTTAAAACATTGACTAAAAATTAATCTTGTTGGGTATTATATGCAAACATACCTGCCTATACAGTATAGTGTTTAAACTACCAAAGTACAGTGTGGTACAGCCCAATGTTTTTAAATGGTGTGTGGCAGTGGACAGACTGTTAAATGCAGCTGGATGTGAGGGTCAGATAAAATTTATTTTTTTTTGTTTGTGGCCAGTGGGGTCCAGTATGATGTACATGTTCTTGCACTCCCAAATAAATACCCAAGTGCCTTCAATCGTTTAAGCGGTATAAAATAAGCGACATCTTGCATCAGTTACGTACTTGTAATCACAGATGCTAAATCTTATCCCAGTTTCCATACAAGAAATTATAGAAATTTGGACTCTCCCTCAGCCCCTTCACCAACCCCCCACCCCCCTCTGGATGACATATGATATGCTAGTCTATTGTAGGGTTGCCCAGATTTGCCAGTATCCATATATACAACTGGGCTGAGTGAGGCTATGTGAGAGTAAAGTGTCTTGCCCAAAAACACAGCACAATGACTTTAACTGGAAATTCTTGATCCGGAGTCCAGCACACCAACCATTAGGCTGCCATGCCTTGCACAGCTTCCTAACTTGTTGGGTAAACTTTTTCTTTTTGCATTTAGTTACTAACAGGATTACAAACTGTTGTCCATTTCAGCTTGCACCAAGTTGGTCAGTTCAGAGGAAGGGCAGTTACCAAATGCTTTTGTTGAAATAAGAACAATGACACCTCCATCAACATCATGGAGTAAACATGCACAGACTGAAATTATAGAGGTCAGTGGCAAAAGATACTCAATGGAAACTTTTCGTAGATATGAGTAAAGATTTTGTGGTTATATTTTATAATAATAATAATAATAATAGAGACCTTTAGCATCAGGTAAACCGCAAACCACAAACCACAAACCGCAGTTACGCGTTTGCAGTTTCACGTTGCCGAGATTTCAAACTTTAGCAAGGCGTTCAGTTCAGTTCAGTTCAGTTCATTTTTATTTAGCCAAAATATAATACAACAGAAGAATACATATAGGAATTGTAAGGTTGCAAGGGAGCCCAGAAGAAACCAGAAGGCTTTATGAAGCCTGGGCTCCCCAGTCTCAAAGAAATAAGCAAAATAAAATGAAATTCGCGGAGTGATACGTTAAAAAATAGGAACTAAACAGAGACTGAGTTAAGTTATGAATTCAGTAACAAGATAGAAAAAAAATGTAACTCTGGATTGAAACAGAATACTTTCCTTTGTTAGTACGGCAGAAAGGAATATAAAATTGATATGAAGTACGCGTTCATTGTTTAGGGCCACCATGTTGTTTTCATCAAGTCGAAGTGCATCACTTTAATCGCCCAAAACTCACCAATAATTCATTGATTCGAGATCAAAAATCCAACAAACACATCGCAAACCGATATAAAAAGCTAGTTTATACCTTTAAACGCGAGGCTGTACTATTTTTTGTGGCAAAAAACTTTGCCGTAAATCACTTACCGCTGGAAGCCCTTCCTGCGGTTCAAACGTGAACTGCAAACTGCAAACGTGACCGCAAGGCCGTGGTCACGTGAAATTTTGCGGTTTGCGGTTTGCAGTTTCCCATGAAAAACGTGATGCTAAAGGTCCCTAATAATAATAATAATAATGATGATGATGATGATGATGATGACAATGATGATAAAATAATAAATCATTAGTAGGTTGAGCATTTGTCTGGGTGAACTTAGTCCTGAATAGGACTGTTAGAGCGGTTTTCACTTGACTGTCGTAAAACCAAAACCAAAGTAAATACACTAGCCAACCAAAGGGCGTAGTAAAACCAAAACCAAAACCAATTACTTTCGACAGTCAAGTGAAAACCGCTCTATTGACAGTGGCTGACATTTTGACAACCCATGCAGTAGTCATCTTCAGAGTCAAAGTGTATTTCATAAACCCTGGTTATTGACCTGATTGGGTAATTAAGTTGCAATGACATGTTATTGGTCGTCTGTTAGTTAAGCCATTATCTTATGGCTATGAAGACTCGAAATGTCATTGATGCTTTTTGATCCATCTATTGTCAGAGTCTATTGTTGTATATGTAACCTGTATGACAAATTTGATTTCAGGTTAAATTTTTTAACCTAGGCTGATTCTCAATTTCCTTTGTTTCCTAGCCCTAATTCATGAATAATTAGGGCTAAGAGACAAAGGAAATAAAGAATCAACCTAGGTTAAAAATTTAACCTGAAATCAAATTTGACCAGTAACATATATGTATTATTTGGCTATTTTTTAATTTTTAGCAAAGTTGTGATCCCTATTTCCTCACAACTGTTGTGTTCCCTGAGGGTTCTGTAAATGAACTGACACGATTGAAGCTGGCTGTTTTTGATGTCAGAGACAGAGAAAAAGAAGAGGTATACTTACACTTTTGCTTGCTGTTTACTTATACTTAATACATGACCTAGTATGACCTTGAAAAAAGGTTTCACTAAGTGTTTGTTATTTGTTTCATCAGCCAATGGATGAAAAGATCAAAACATTGACTCTTCATTTTTCGGCCAAAGAAAACCCTAAATGGAGAAGGCATTTTTTGATTGGCCAATCATGTTGCAGTATGACGTCAAAGCAAAGTATCGATTGATTTCAAGAAAGTTCTCAGGCATAAGGTTTTTTCACCCGAGCATTCACTTAGCCAACCAAAAAGCCATGCATGTTTGTATCCGTTCAATAAACCAGTCATATTGCTCTATTTCCTAGCTTGTGTTTGTTGTTTCTGTTTTGTTCGCGCATTTTCATTTCAAGGCCATATAAAAGTCGCTTTAAAAACTTCCTGTTTTGGAATGTTAAGTTTGGCAGTCAAATATTAGAGCAACCTGAAAATAAGATTATCACAAAAAAAATACCAAGAACTGCTTGAACATAAGGACACAAAATTAATTTGCACTGGGTTTCCTGAAATTTTCCTGTCTGATTTTGTTGGTTTAAATATTAAAATATAAATACAAAAGTTGTCTTGCATTTTGATGCACAAATTTTGCAAACGTCAAAAAATATTGATTTCACAAATGATATGAAGGCCATGGCAGGTTAATGAACCACCATACATTTGGTATGGATCGAATTACCTGACTCTTTAACTGAATGTAGATTTTAACAAGTTATTTGTAACTGAAATAAAATAATTAATTCTTCACATAACATGTAACCGACAGAACAGTTTCTTCTTGTAGATGTCATTATTAGGTCAAGCTGTTTGCACCATGGGGGACATTTTAACTGCTTCAGACCAAAAACTGATTCTAACTTTGACGTAAGTCTTGATATGGATGAGTAGACAAGAGCTATCTTTTTTTTTTTTTTTTGCTGCAGTATCATCTAAAAGAAATATTAGTTTTAAAAGTTTTGGCAATATTAACTGTTGTACTGCTTATCTGTAGCTATTATTACCACTGCTTCCGTTGACCACCAGTAAATTTTTTGCAAGCTGATTAGAATTTTCGCCAAGTTTAGTTAGTTCATTACAGTAGATCATGACGAGTCTTGGTGAATCTAAACTTTTATAGAAATGGAAAATCATAGCTTATGCTGTTTTTGAAAAATACTACCAGGTTTCTTCATTTGTTATTGCAGCTCCCTTGATTCTCCTGATGCTTGTGGAACTGTAACTGTTCTTGGATGGAAGGTAAGACAGAGCTTTTATCAGACCAACTTATTTGAATTTAAACAATTTGTTGCCCTATTACTAGTGACAATAATAATATTATCACTGACAGTAAATTAAATGTACTATATTAAATGATAAGAGTGCCAGCCTGAGAAACTGCCAACATTTTGCAATGCCACCAACGGTCTTCCCACCCACAAAATGTCATCTGAGGAATGAGTGCAGAAATTCCATACCAATGATGTGTCACTACCCGGATCTGGGTAGTGATTGGTTGAAGCAAGTTTTCGACCGATTCAAAACCTTCTTCAAAAAATACCCCTTTTATTTCAATCTTGTTTTGTTTTGGCAGGTTGATGGTCGAAGATCCTCAAAAAGCATTTCTCAGAATGTGGAGGTATGAATGTTAAATTTTATCCTCTAAGTTGAATTGATGTTTTCCTATCAAGATTGAATCATAGAATTAAACCACAGGCTATATGATGTATTAGACAATGTTTTTTTCTCATGTCATTTGGCACTGAAGTAATTGTTGTTGATTTCTTGTCACCTTTTGTAAGGTTAACGTACATGTTTAATTGAAACTGCTTATTTTAATTTTTTTGTTTTTGTTATTTTAGAAAGAAAAAGAAAGAAGGAACAGTGGAAGGTAACAAATCTTATTAATCGTAATATTATTGTTTAAAAAATGTTATAGGTATACTATTGGTTTATATATTGGTTTATTTTTCCTTTGGTCACTATTTGGAGTGAAGGGTTTATCAACAGATCTATAGAATAATCAGTAGATTAACATATTATTTTAAAATCTCATTTGCTCAATATAGGACTATGATGATGGTAGAGCACATTCTGAAGAGAAGCTACCGATTCCCAACAACGTAAGTCACTTCAATATTTGCATTGTTGAATCTTGACAACTTTCCTCAGAAATTGTAACCTAAAACTGCCATGGTTCAACATCAGATGGTTAAATTAATGCTATAGTGTAGCTAGAACGAGGTTAAGTGGCAGCTTCCCGGAAGGAAAATCTGCTTGTCCCTGACCACCAGACGGGTTTTTGAAGCCCCGAACTCTGGGTACTTCTTAACTTGTCTTAGTTGTTAAAATGTGCCGTAGAAAAGAGTATTTGGTAAACATTGGCAGCATCTGCCGGGGATGCAAAATAGCAGACTCTCATGAAACTCTCTTGTACCCATAAATGAATACTTTTTCATTCTTTGCAAACTTGCAGTAAATGTTGTAGGTTTTTCGTTTTTGGTAGTCATTTAGTTATTTGAGACACACGGCAGTGGGTGCAGTTATCAGTTGCTTATTAACATGGTTCTTTCTCTTATTATCCAGGAACAGAGGTGTAGTCCTCAAGGTTGTTGAACTGATGGGAGAAAGTGTTCTAACTTTTAAAATTCCAATTCAACTTTTGTAAGTTCCCCAACTTCTTAAACCTTATTTTTGTTTTCAAGAGGGCGTAATCGTGTTTCCACTTACACTGATTAGGTATCATCCTGTGAACAGAGCCTTCTTTTTTCTTCTTTATATCGAGCCAGTGAAAGAAAGACTCTTCCTCTAGCAGGGCGACTGATTATGCAAGACATAGCTTAGTTTTCCCAATTTTTAAGGAAAAAAAGTTTAAAGCTGATGAAGTCCTTTTTTTGGTAAAAAATTGACGCGGAAGGCTCAAAACCTCTGTTTGCAATGTATGCCAATAATGTCTATTGAATTTCCAGAGGGTCAAATGCACTTTATTTCTTGTGTAAACTTCCAACCGAGTTGTTGTAATATGCTGTGTTCGAGAATATTCATCCTGCATAGGTTAATCAGGGATGAGAGAATGACTAGTAGAGTTGTTTTTCCTGCTGTAGAAAAATTTACATTGCTGAAGAGCAGCAGAAGATCCTGGAGCTACACCATCTAGGAGATGTAGGATTTTACTTCTTTTCGTTTTATCGCACTTTATGAATAGATGTACTTAAACAACAATAGCCTCTCACAGATGTATGGAGACTTTCTCGAGGGAGAATTGCACATGACAAGCGAAAAGAACATTTGCATACAACGCTATGACGGTGGTGATCTATTCGAAGCATGCACTGGCATTCACGTCTGCAAAAAGTCTGTTGGAAACGCATTATAATTCTAATTTTGAGTCTGTGAACCAAATCCTTTACTGTGACCCTTAATTAAACCTAACTTCTGAATCTGTGGAGCAAATTCTGTAGTGTAACCACCCAAAAGTAATCCTTTGTTGAAACGTCTTAAAAAGTGTTTTGTCATATGAAATTTGGGATTTTGGCAAATCTTGCTTTATGTTGACTGCTTGACTTGTCTGCTTGTTTTGTTTAGTTGAACCCAAGCTGGGAGAATGCTCGCCAAGAGATCCTTGATAATCACTTCAAACTCATATGCGCATACAAAGGCAACCTACAAGAACTTGTTCCCTTACAAGGTCTGTAAAGTAAAATTGTCAGAGTGCTCATTCAGGCAGTGAGATAGTAAATTAGAGAATGTTTATTCACGATACAGTCAACCATCGCTTTGGCGAACACCTCGCTGTAATGAACGCCATGATAATACTTTGCAAAAGTTGCAGATGTTTGACCTTAAAAAACCTCGTTATTATATCAAGGAATCTTGCTTTAACGGAATTACAGTTCCTTCTTTTAATAGGTCCCAACAGTAAAATTTTTTTATCGTTACAACGGACACCGAGGGGAACCGAGGGTTTGCGCACAGTAACGGGAATTTTTTGTTTTTTTAAAAATGTATATATCTATATAAACGTCTTTACAGCGGCGATCCCAGTTCAAAAAAACAATAATTTATTCAGTCAAGTATAGATACAGTAAAATTCATGGAATAAAACCTACAATATCCCGCGAAATAGGGGACATTCTAACTTCGCACAGAAGGATATTGAAACAATATATTGGCGACGAAGACGTCTCTTATCCGCGTGCATCACAACCACGTTCCCACGGTCAAAGGAGGACGGGAAAGGACCGTGGCAACGAGGTTGCGTGCAACAAGAGAAAAGAGAGCGGTCTGCTCGCAGGCTTTTCAGTATAAGACTCCGATATAACGCTCACCGTTCTCCCGCATTTATAGCCAACAAAGTTTCTCAGTTCTCTGGCTGATGGGTTTAATAGATCTACCGTTACTCTAACTGAGCACGAGATCAAACGGGAGCATGTCGTTGCTGGTAAATCACGGAGAAGAGAGGGTTATAGTTGTTCCGCTTTTTGCTTTCTAAGTGCTACGCGACAGAACATCCACGTGCATCAGTGTAAAAAGACCGTCATGAGAAGTAGCTTGTTTGTTGTGTGATTCCAAAGCAAAACAGATCAGAAGCCCATTCCACCACAAATTACTCAGCAGTAATCTGGTAAATTCTCCAGGTACATGTTTCAAGCCTGCTAGACTCAGAAACGACAAGAAGTTGGCCTTTGTACCAATTAACTTACACATTCAACGAATGAAGGTCATGCAAGACAGTGAAGGAAGTAAGTGTCTTAACGCTTGTTTACACTAAACGTAAACCCTAATCAAATGTGCTCTTAAGATTTAATCAGAAGCATATAATCCCGAAATTTGCTTCTGATGTAATGGATTTAACCCTTTGGTGACGGCCGGCGAGTAGCGAAAAAACCGCATTTTTCACCGATTCCTCTTCTTTGGACTAGTTTTCGGCAAAATAACATTAGAATGGCTAAAAACGAGTTTTGCAAGAAAAAAGGCATATTTTCCGACTAATCTGACATAATTAAACAGCTTTTTTGTTTTTTACGCATGCGCAAAGTCCAAAATTTGGAGTAGTATGTAAACGGCGAAATTGGCATTGGTTTTTTCCCCAAAATGTTACCGTTTTTTGTGAGTGTAACTCTGTCAGGATTAGTCAGAATATCCAAAACGAGGTATCGCTGGAAAGATCTATCTTTGCTGACGTTATTTCTTACCAATTTATTAACTTTAACTAAAAGCTAAAAGGGTCCAGGGAGTAATGTATTAACATCGTTCCATATGGGGTCGTATACGACCCTAGCCGTCGGTAAAGGGTTAAGTGCTGGTTATACAATCTGAAAATTTTTTGCGACTGAAATATTTAATGATAAGATCTAAAACGTTTAGTATTGTCTTGCTTAGGGGAGATAAGGAAAAAAAGCAGTCGAAAGAGTAAATCAAACCTGCTTCATTATCAATCTGATGTTGACTTGAAATTTTTGTATGTACAGCAGGGACCATGTATGATATTGTGACAGTTGGAGCACCAGCAGCTCACACATTGAAGTTCGGCCAGGGTGGACTCAGGAGACTTTACATGACGCTCAGAAAAGCACAACGCAGGTGACTATTACAGACAAAAGCTTAGACTGGGTATGATTTACACGACACCATCTGTCGCAAAGTCATGAAATATGCTAATCGCGCACGATAGTCGCAAAACCGTCTAGTAAAATCGACCTTCAGAGTCTCACGCGCGCTTGCGCGCGAGCTTCACACGCCCATGGGGCGTGCGTCTCTCCCCAGTCTCGCCCTCCGTTTTCAGCCTCGCCCCAGCGTTTTGTTTGACGGTTCGCGCGTGCTTGAAAAGATACGGATTGTTTTGCAGTCTATTTGGATAAGCGGTATTTTTTGAAAAGAAAATAAACTTTTTTTTTCCCCATTTCTGTTTTATAGACATTTAGGCTGTTACAAAACAGTTGCGCATTATAGGCTCATTGAATATCGACGATGTAGATACTGGAAAATATATCATTTCCTTCCGCGAATAGCTGTTTACTGTTTAAAAGGATCAATGTGTTGTTGTTATTTTTACACAGCGGCGGTGAGAGTGAAAATAAAGCTCCTGTGGTGAAACAGTTAAGAGGTGAATACAAGCAATTTTTTTTTCATTTATAGCTTTGTTTTTTGGTTGAACCTTTCAGTCCAGCCATGCAGCCATTCAGTTATTACCTCTTTCTTACTTTTGCAGTTAATTTGGAAAAATTCAAGTCTCAGTTGAGCCAGCACTGTGAACAATTAAAAGAGTAAGAAATTTTTTACAGAAATTGATGAAAGTTTGACAGTCACTGGTTGACGGCGGGAGCTAAAGAGGTTTTTGAGCAACGTACGTCAACTGGAAGAGGACTTTTGCATTCTTTGGCTGCGGTTTTGCTCAAATTTTTTGGGCAAATCACCTCTATAAGTCAGTTTAAAGACACTTAGTAATTCAATTTGGTGGCGTCAAAGCGAATTAAAAGGCAAAAGGCACCACTTCCAGTTGACGTGTGTCGCTCAGAAACGTCTTTGCTTAAGCTCCAGGCCAGGCTTGGTTAAGCTACTGTATGCGGAACTGGTTTATCTGATAGGAAACGATTGGTGTTCCCTGGGAATAATATCCATGCATTCGGGCAAACCCGTATACTGATAATATCGTAGAATTGACGTCTCTAACCCGTTATGTGCTAGGCTCCCACGCAGCCGTTCTTAGGGGTTTGTCACGCGTTCCTTCCCCACTATCGTGGGGCAAGAACGCGTGACGAACCCCTAAGAACGTCTGGGTGGAAGGCTAATCATGTGCGCTATTCACACCTTATTCAGTATTTTGATTGATAATACTGTAATACATTCTAAATACTTTGCGGTTGTATGCAGTCACCTCTTTCTCTCAGTGGACACGTTGAATTACTGAGACGTCTCTAAAGCTCATGCACACCTGATGTTGGCGTTTGCTGTTAGCTAGTCATTTTCTTTGAGCCTCTATAAATCGAACATCTATCTAAGGTGGACACTTAGGGTCTGTTTACATGGAGGTAGGGGACCCCAGATAGGTGAGGTAATCAGGTTAGGTGAGGTAACCCGCCTATCCATCTAATCTCTCATTTTAATTTGATCATGTTTACATGATAGGTGGGGTGACCCGTTACATGTTACCTCGCCTATCTGGGGTCCCTCATCTCCATGTAAACAATCCTTTAGTTTTGCTTCTGTGGTGTTCTTACTCGGAAGAGCTCACTACACTGTTATTCCTCACTTTGTGTACACTCTTTGTTTAGCGCTATCAAGTCAGGGAATGTCACCAAACTCATGGACACCATGTCTCGTCTTTCCGATAAGGTAACACTAAAGGAGCACGTCAATTCTTTCTCAGCACTTTGTCCCTCTCATGTTTTGACGGCTGGTTTGTTGCTGCTGTTGCTGTCGACGCTTCTCGATACACCCCCCGGTCTATACCTGACTGAAGGGTAAATATTTTGGGTATATTTTTGTCGTGAGGGGTGGGTGGGTGGAGGGGGGGATGTCCACGGAGTGCAGGTCAATCGATCCTTGCTTTATCTCATTCCCAGATCTCCAAACCTACCAGCAGACATAATTGAGACTTTGGCCTCGCCCTAAACACAAACCGATGCGAAATGATTGAGAGTTATTTATTGTCGGGTTATATTAATCCTCTTCAGTGTATTTCTAAAGAGCGTTAGTCGTTTTTTGTTCTTTCTAGGCCAATCAGTTGTTAAAATTCCGGGAAGCTTCTCTGGTTGTGGAATCTTTATCTTCGTTGGAAAAAGCTGTTCCATCTCCTAAAGACGAAGATGAACCAGATGTTGGTATGGCGGAGAAAACTGATGTTGAACATTGTTAACTGTCAGGGTTCTTATCACTCCTAGATTTTCTGGAATTATAAAATTTTGTTCCGGGGCCGTGGGGGACTCCTTGAAATTTTCTATTCTTGATTTACTTCTTTTTTCATCGCAGATAATTTCTGGAATGTTCAAATATTCACAAAGCCAAGTGCTAAATGTCAGGTAAATATGGGGTTTTAAATTATTTGCAAATTATAATTATTCCAATAGCCGCGCAACTCGTCCATTACACAAGGGTCCTTTTTTGACTTCTATGTTGAGTTTGTGAATGCGTTTTCTTTCGTTTCACAGCAACAGTTGTAAAAATTTTCAAAAAAACGTTTCCAAAAAATTTTATTCCTCCATTTTCAGGAGCTCTCCACTCTCGTCGACCAGAGCCTCATGATGATGCAGAGTCACGTAGACGGGATGATCCAGGGCGTACCACCACCTGAAGGTAGCAATGAATTGTGAGAACTACACCTCCGTTATCTGGGTCGTCACGCAACGCACCCCTTCGAGTGTTTTGTCGTAACTACCCAAATAATGGCTGGATGGAAGAGTAGTTATTAGATATTGGCTGTTACATTATATTTCTAGCATTGTTTTAAGTTAATAATAATAATAGTAATAATAATAATAATAATAATAATAATAATAAATACTTTATTTATACTGCAAAAATAGATCAGCTCCATGAGAAAAAAACTGCTGGTATAAACCTATGTGCAGAAAATAAAATATTTTAAGATTAAAAATGATTTGCTTTAAAAGATCCTAAATTTAGGCCATCAGCCTGTAATTCTTTGGGTAACTCGTTCCAATCCTTTGCTTAAGAGAATTTAAAATAAAACTGGATTTTACTTTAGGCAGATGAATTTCTTCGACTATCTCTTCAGGTCCTAACCACGGCATTCAGATCTCAAGGTTATATAATTCTGAAGTTGCGTAGGACAACGCTGATTGTTAACAGTTTTGAACGCTAGCTTAAGACGCACAAATCTTCGCCTGCTAGATAGTCTTAGAAGTCCTAGTTTTTGTCTCCCATCGTTTGTGAGTAATTTAGGTGGTTTAGAGTTCTTCTTGGAGCAGGATCCCCAACCGTAATCTAAAATAGGTAAAATGTCACTTCATAAATCTTCAAAAGGATAGTTGGATCCAGAAAAGACGAAATCCTATTCAGCAGCTTAAGTTTAGGGTACTATCTGGAGGCGACATAATAAGTGTTCGGTTTTTTCCAATGACTGCTATCTTTGATCGTCAGGAAATTCATGGGTTAGTGTAGTATTGTCAGAGACGCATGATTTTTCCAGAGCTGTGGATGGCTTGGTGAAAGAAATCTATTTAGGAATGATTTTCCTCCAACTTCAGGTAAGCGTAAGTTGTAGAAAGGTAAAGTTTGTTTATCCTGTTTATAGTGGAAGTCCCTAATCTTTGCAGCTAGTTTACAGGCACTCCACTTAAATGGCTAGAAACAAATAATAAACAAATAATTCTATAGAACATAAATTGAGTAAAAACCAAACTGGTAGGAGGCACCTTGTTGGCTATTTACGAGCGTGGCCTAGGATTTGAACTCGAGACGAACAAGAAACAAATCCAGCTAGTGGTCAGATCGAGTTGGACTAAAATCACAAGACCGACGCGCTGACCACTCGGCCACGCTGCCTACTTGTTTTTGTTGTTAAGACAATTACTTACTCAAGACGGCGGTAAATCTGGTCAGAAGGACTTCGCAAACCCTGTTATGGGATAATTGATCAATTAATTGTCCTCATTGCATACGAGGTGGTTAATAGCCATTGCGAGGCGGGAAGAGCGATACAGTTGGCTATACCAATCTCGTATACAACAAGAGTGAATGGAATATTCGTTTTGTTAATTTGCCAACCTTCCCTTATTTACTTTTACAAAACGTTCCCTGTTATTGAAGAGAATTCAGTTTGTCGGCTGGTCCGAGTTTACTGCTATCACTGTCGCTCTCGTTTTCCATAAACAATTATAAGGCTAAACGTCGGTGTAATAGCTGGTAACCGAGCTCAAAGCAAAAAAAGTAAAAAAGGAAATGCCTTTCTGTTAATATTAATTTACTTTTATTCTTTCTCTATATTTCCTTCCAACGAAACATACCGTGTAGGAAGAAGCAAAACACGCTTCGATCCTCTACGAAATCAGAAAACGACAGGACATGGTTTTTTCCCACGCAGTAAGTGTACTCTCCTGCGAAAAATAAATAATTCTCGCGCCTTCCGGTGCTTTCTCTCCACAATCCCGCCCGAATTTCATTTCTTCTATTTTGCAACGATTTTTCTTTCAAAACGTTTTTCGTTGCTTATTTTTTCGCTTTTTTTTGGTGTTGAACATGTTAATGATTAAGGGTCGAGGTTTAAACTTCATTTATTTTAGCACTTGTTTTTGCAGGTGACAACTTTAGTGGCTGGTTTTGTTTGCAAACTCCACAATTCTCTTTCAAACAACGTTTTCCTTAAGCAGCTTGCGCAGATTGGATTTCTGGCGCATTTTGAGAGCCTTCTTAGCACAAATGGTACGTACTTTAAGTATTTTTGATAAAACCATTCACTTTTTTTATTTCAGCTGTGAAGAGTTCTGCAAAATGCGACAGATAAGTCGCGCATACTAGTGTTAGTACCAGTGATAGACGCGGGAAAGCTCCGCGGTGAAAGCAGTCCGCGTCAGGCGCGGATAAATGAACGAGAAAACATTCGACTGTTAAAACAGGAAAGGAAGGCAAATATACAAGCTTTGTAAATCGGAAAAAGCGTAACTTTGTCATTAAATCGTGTTAGTGACTTGCCATGTATTTTTTTCCATATTGCTCGTACCTAGCCATTTTTGGGGAAAATCAAAATGTCAAATTCGCTCAGGTTCTGTTTTTCGTGCGACATTTACGCTTTCTTCGGTTCTTATTCTTTTGTCAGGTGATGAAATGGGAATGCTAGAAGATGCTTGTGTCAGCATAACTAACCTTACCTGTGTCAAATTTAAGGTACAAGTCAGCTCGTCTATTTTGTCAAAGCATGAAGAAAGCAAGGGGTAGTCCGAGAATCATGGAAGTTTAGAAGATCTGTGTTGATAGGAATTGTTATTTTGTTATTTTCATAGTAAAAAATCTTCAGTTGTAAGCTTATATATGTTTTTTCAGTTCAAGGAGTGCGACAGAGAAGATGAAATTCCAACGTTGAGTGGAAACAGGTTTGTTTACTCTGTAAGCGACGTGACCCAGTGATCGACACTGTCAACCTTTTTACCGCTATAAAGTGCGGACTCACCAAATTCAAAATTAACTAAAAATGCCGCATTTAGTTATCATCAAGAAAAACAAATGAAGAGTTTTCCTTTGAATGGCCACATCATAAGATTTCCTGGTCCTCAGACTCAAAAGTTAGAAAGAACTAGATACTAAGCTTAAATAAATTGTTCCATGTGACAGTACTACTGAAGAGGTTTCGGCAATCATGGGACTTGGCCCACAGACTCAAATGCTACATTCAAAACAAATTGTACCATGTGAAATAACTGCTGAAATGTGATTCACATGAATGGTCACACCATAGAATTTAGTGCCCCGGTTTAATTGGTTTTTGAGTTTGTTATAACTTATTCTTCACCCACATTGGGATATCGTTTCCCGCTTTAAAGAGGAAATTTCCCTGTCTCTTTTTTGGCGTACTACGGCGTCACTCTATTTCAGGTGGCGTTCAACACCTTTTCCCCCTAGATAAGGAGCTCATTCTTATGTCCCGCAAATAATCAAAATTACTGACTGAAAAATAGAGCGTAAAATGTTTTATGCTGCTATTCTTCGCCGTCTTGAAAGTACTCACGTTGATCCTCTTTGAGACGCCTATGAGGAGACCATGACCCGCGGAGCGAGCAGCTTCCACGTACTCGTATCACAGCGCTGTTTCTAATCAGTTTATTTTTAGAACGATTTATGTCGCGAAGTTAGAACACCGTATTTCCTCGAATAATAGCCGCCCCTCGAATAATCGTTCCCCCTAGACGGAAATATTTAAAATAATCGCCTCCCTGGAATAATCGCGCAACCTCCCCCTATCCTTCTCGCCATCTTCTCTTTCTTTTATCCCCGCCCTGTCAAGCTGAAGTGGAGTCTGACGCGGCAAAACTCATCAGTAACGATTCAAGCTCTGACCCGGGGACATTGAAAAGTAATGAAGGAACCAAATTTAGAGTGCGAAAAAAGGCCATGTTCAGTTTATTTGATGTGATCGTTTTTAGTGGGAAAATAAAACAAAATATTTAGGGCAGGTCTTCCAGTGAGCAGTGTTTAGAATAAGAATGGAATAATCGCCCCCCTTTTTGTGCGAAAGAAATAATAATCGCCCCGGCTATTATTTCGGAGGAAATACGGTATCTTGAAAGTCCCACAAACCAGTCAGCAAAACCCGAAGACCTGAAAATAGTATTTGTGACCTTTAAATAACTTATAGTTTTCTTTTTTTTCATATCTTATATTTCGAATGCGCTTATAGACAGAGAAAAGGGCTCACTTTTACAAGAAAAACTGCTCTCAAGTTTCTAAATCTAAAAATAAACGGTTCATGAGAACGCCGTACTGTACGAGGCCTTGCGTCTGGTGTGGGAGTTGCTTGCTGCGCGTGGGTTATGAACTCATGACACCCACCAAGTGCTGGAATCTGTTTAGGTGCTCGTTTCTTCTAACCCTATTCCGGTGCGGTGTGTTTTTCTGCAGGGGATACATACAAGTTAACTTGTCACTGCCATCCATTCACTTCCGTCGACTTCCGCGTGAGTTACAGGAGGGTCGGCTGGTCAAGGTCATACCTGTGCTATTTACACAAGGGATTAATGAACACGCAACGCTTGCAGAGAGGTACGGCAACTAAAGAAATCTGAGTTTTTGTATTTGTGCTGTCACATCCTCTAATTAAAAATGTGAGGTGTATCTTGCTTGAAAGAGAAAAATACTTTTTTTGTCACCGACTTCACTGTGATATGACATGGGTGGCTTTTAAGATCTCTTATTTTGAACACATTTTCGTATTTTAAGTGTAATTGCTATTGTAAAATAACCTCTTTCCGAGTTTCATCCCTCCGACACTTTGAAGTAAAAAAATGTTTTCTTTGTAGATTTGGAGATACAAGTCTTCAGGAAAAGATCAATGGTGACAATTACAGCATTTTGAATTTCTACTTTGAACAATTCAAGGACAAGTTTCCTGATGCAGGTTTTGTAAAACGCTCCTTTTTTCTTTCCTTTTTTCGCTTGTTTTTCCTTGCAATTTAGCCCTCTCCCTGTCAACATGATACCAATTTTCACTGTAAATCTGTCAGTCCTGTCAACTTTAAATCTGTCAGTCCTGTCAACTTTATCCAAAAGAATCGGATAGGAAGGCACGTGCTGTAATTTTGTTTAAATTCTCATCACGACAACTCAAACTATAGCTAGACAAAATTAAGAGAAAATTCCCTCTTCATCAATCAATCTGCAATACCTGCGTTTGCGGGTGCCTGTATTTTTTTAAAATTATCTTCCTTACTGTTTCACCAAAGCAAAAGCAAATATTGGGGCCATAAGTAAAGGGCAAGAAATGCTGAAGGCAAAGACTTCTTCCCTCTTTCTATACCAAAAGCTTCTCAATTCACGATTGCTTGCATCAGGTGTAATCAGTGAGGTTTACTGGTATCACGAGAAAATAATGGGACAACGAACTAAGGGCGTTGGCCAGAAGACATGTGAATTTCACTAAAGTCATTTTTAGAGGTTGTAATTGAACGGAAGTCTAATTCCTGAGGCGTCCGCACATTGTTTGAAACGTCATAAAGTACACGTGCGACTGACTCAAAGCAAACAATGCAGAATATTGTAATGGCGACTGGTGAATTCTCCCTTAACAACACTGAATAAAAATTTGTGGACCTCTTCGGAAACCAACTTCTGATTAAGTTAAAAGGTTTAATTAATCTAAAAATAGCTTTGGCGAGGCTGTGTTCCATCATTTTCTCTTGTTGGTGTTTATTTATGATTCTATTAATTTAGTTTCCCCGCGAAAAGATGGAGAACCAAGTTTAGAGCAGCTGATGAAATCTCTGAAATCAAACATCGACAGCAGACGAGGAAAGAATGTAGACATTCTACTCATAAGCGAAGAGGTAGCGTTAATTATATTATGCCTTTTTTAGCCTTTTTACTTTCCAAGGGCTTCTACTTGTGGAAATAATGAAAATTAAAGGGTTATGTTTTGTTAAATGCTGCGAAAATTCAAGTGTGACAAACGAAAACTTCCCAGTAGTTAATACTCTGTAGGATTTCATCCTCCGAACCATATCCAAACTAGATGAACTGCTCTATTGCTTTGTAACTCTGAAGTCGTTTTACCTTGTATAAAAAAATAGCACATGCTATACATGTAATTTTGAGAGCGCATTACTCAGTTGATTGTCACAGTACAGTTAAAAAAAAACGAGCAGCAGTTTATTATCACGTTTAAAACCTCCAGGTGGAGCCGAGGGTTTTTAAACCTGATAATACAAGACTGCGAGTTTTTTCAACGGCTTCAAAATCTCTGATATAGATCAACTCATTCTTGCACAAATATTTAGATTTGTGGTTATTTTGGTGTAAAAAATTGGACGTAAAGTTTAGCCGTGTCTTTTTCAGATAAAAGACACTCATTAAACTTTTAAAATTTCTTTTGTTTTTCTTTATGAATTTTTAATGAGTTTTCAATTACTGATTACACCGTGCCGGTTTGGTGTTTTAGTATATGTGACTTTGTATTCCTCTGATATTTTCTAAGAGTACACAATGATAAAATGTATTTAATATCCAACTTTTTACAGATCTGTTGGCGGTTGAACGGCTGTCGTTTCACGAGTTGTAAAAGCGCCAAGGATCGCACAGGCATGGGAATCACACTGGAACAGTGCATGATACTCAAACGAGAGCATAACATGGATTCACAGTTTTTTCAGCAGGCTTTGGACGCCATGAGAAGGTATTGTCAAGGCAATGTCTTGTCATCAGTTTGTTACGTCATCTTGGCCATGCATCTTTTCTCTAAGCTAACTCCCCGTACAGAATAGCAAAAGCAAAATTTCAAATTTATTCTTGGAATTCGAGCAGCAAGTATCATTTATATGTTAAGAGTTTTGTTTATAGCCTTGTTGAGGTGCAGTTAGTTGTCTATTTGATAATCAACTTCTAGGCTGTTCACAGTGCCCTGTTTTTTCGTAAGATGATCGAGATGAAGCGCTTATCGTTATGAGCGGCCATCTTGGTTTCGAATGTACAAAGAGGGTCGGCTTCGGGGTTAGCGGTGGATGAAGGATATTTTTCTCGCCTCTTTTTAAACCACCCCCCGTGCCCTTAGTAGGTTTAATACTCATCCCCAGGCTAGACTCGGCATTTTTGGTCACCCGTGTGGGGAGGTACTCGATCTCAACGATCTTTGAGTTTCTCGAATCTTTCGAAAACAGGGACTGTGAACAGTCTATCAAACTTCAAACTCTTTTCCTTTTCAGTGAAGGAACAAGACGAGAAAACACTTTCAAGAACACAGGAGTACGTAGTTATGCCTTCAACTCGTGGCAGGTCATGGCTCTTCCCAAACAATACCGACCTCCTAACGGAACTTACGGCAAAAATGTTCAGACATAAAACACCTTACGATGCAGGCTATATAATGGTACCCATGCGTCTCCTCAGTTCAGTACTGTGTGACCAGACAAAAAATGGTCGTGAATACTACGATCACGACGAGTCTCATACTTTATCTTTTATACATAATATATTTTTTGTTAAGATGTTTTTTCACATGAACTCTTCCAATAGGATATAAAGCGGGTTAACAATATCCTGCTTGTAGGACTGAAGTGGAAACACTGAGTACTGAGTACTTTGCGGTCTTAGTTATACTTGTGACTAACTGAAGCATCGGATGGCCCACCTGATCGATTGCCGTCAGTTTTTTGTACGAGCGCAGAAACCCGCCAGGACTCTTTACGTACATAATTACCCAGGTAATTAGGAGAAACGAAGACATTTTAGCAGTTAATATTATCCATAGCAAAATTTTGAAGGAAATATAGCGATATTTTAAGCGCCTAGGCAATTGAAAATAGCGATTTTCAGTTACCATTTTTTTGTCTTAGTAGCCTGCGTGGTAAGCGTTTCCGTGTGGTTTCAGAGCAGAGAAAAACCGAGGAACGACGTGGAACGGGATTTTCTGTTTTGGCCGCGCGAAAAATAGAACGAGAGTGGCCTTTGACTCTCGTTCCTCCTTCTTTGCTCCGAAAGTTCACGGAAACACTTGCGTAAAATATCTTACGTAACAAGGCAGCAAATTTAGTTGTGTAGTTTATGAACTTGTATAAAGAGTTTAACAAGGGAAATTCGTTCTCATTAGACAATCCACCACTTATCGCCGCCCAAGAGAGTTGACCTCCTGTAGATATACCTTACATAGTCCACAATTATTTTGTGTATACAGTGGAACCTCGATACATGTAAAAAGAAGGGCCAAGGGACTGGCTAAATTTGTTCGCTATAACGAGGTTTCGTTATATCGAAGTTCTTTTTCATTTACCATTACTAGGGTAAAGAAAATCGTTCGTCATTCCGAGGACTTCGTTATATGGAGGTACCAGTGTAACAACCTTTTATCACTACACTTTATTCATAAATTTTCACTTCTTATATTCGCTTATTTTTCTGTACATAATGTTTTATTCTCGAAAATTTTATTACCCGAGTTCGTGTATATTTTGATACTAACAAAAAAAAATAGTTGGGGGAAAAGTGTAGTTTACTTAGTTTGTAGTATAAGACTTGATCTAAGCCGTACAATTAGGCGTCATGCTCCAATCCGTGTATAATTGCGAGTAAGCTCTCTGGAAAATAGAGAAGTGGCACGGAGAGGGTGTATCCTTCGTTGTTTATTTGTTTTTCCTATGAACCTTAGTTTCATTAAGGATTTGAGAGAGAGCTGACAAATGATATTAAAGATTTTACAAAGCAAGTTATGCGCTTCTGTTGTAAGCGAAGATCGTATTTTAGTAAATCTTCACTAACTTCTCCAAGTACATTTTTGATACAGTAGAAGTGTATTTCGAGGATGCTTGGATTAGTTTAATTTTCTAACTGAAAAATCACTTTGCATTTTCAAATTAGCAAAGAATGTCAGATCAATTGAAATTTAATATAAAGAATAAATTGTAGTAAGAAATTATATTAAGGAATAAAGGAAGAGTTATTTTGAAATGTCTGTGCGTTTACATAGGGAAAACAGAAGGCGCAGCAAGCTTGTTTAGAAAGTTGGGACAAGAGCAAAAAAGAGGAATAGAGGGAGAGGAGAGACGTTTTCTCTTCTTCCCTCCCCTCCCCCTTCTTCCATTTGTTGTTGTTGTTGTTGTAGCTGTTTTTGCTATAAAACGTACTTTCGTGCATTTACTCGATCGGAAACGTTTGTTACACATGCTAAGGCAAGAAAAGAGTTCAACTACACAACAGGACTGGTTTGGGACAGCTACAAAACTGCTGTTTCATTGTCTTGGGGCACCAATATGGTAGACGTAATGTCGTGTGAAAAGTAATAATATTATATTCTCACCTGGAACACCCGCACTCAAAGCCATTATCCTAAATGCATAACATATGGGAGAATCTGCCCAAGCAAGCACGTTGGTGGACCAGGAGAGAATACGAGGTATGCCCCATCGCTGCGGGAAGGAGGATGGGGCAAGAACTGCTATTGAGGGTGCTGAGACCTAAACCTTACTAGAACTGGCTGAATAATCAAGCCGGCTGCTCTTTCTGAGGGACAAGGTCTGTGGGTATGCCGCGTATTCTCCCGGGCCACACTGAGAGTGTTAGGAAGTGCATTGATGCCATTTTAAGCTTTTGTGCGTGTTTTCCCCAGTAAGAATAGCACGTCATTTTTTTACTCCTAAAAAATGTCTTTACCAATTTTCCAATGTCTACTCTTATAACCTTGGAAACTTATCATGAATATACATGTTGTAAGTTTGCACACTGGAACAAACTCCTTATCGGCAAGACATGAGTGCAAAGCAGTCTATTAATAGACCTTTCTGTTCTCCCATCCCTCCTAAGGATCCATGCATTTAATAATCAAATTGACTTAATCAATTGTACATTCCGAAAATGATACTTACTGTTTGGTCAACATGTCGTTTTATCGCTTAAAAAATAATTATTTTTTGGTATGGTTCTGTTTGATTTGACCAAATGTTGGTGTAAAAAATACTGCAAGAGTTCTAGTCCTCCATGCAATATGATTTAATAACCCTTGGAGGCAACGTAAAAAGCCCCCTCTGTTATCACACATTCCACCATTCATCATCATCATCATCATCATCATCTTCATCAATACCTTCAAACAGTTTGTTAAAACATGAACTGTTTAACGAATTAAAATGCTGATATGGATTACTGCGAGAAAGTGTTGACATGCACAACCAACAGAAATAGGAACGGCACTTAATACATGTCATTTTGTTGCAACCATCTATCTTTTGAATACTTGCACTACAACTTGGGCATTGTTTAGCATTTGAGAAGATCCACTTTTCAGACACGACTTCATCCACCATTTGTTGAAGCCGTCGCTTTCCAAAACGCTTTTCAAGAAACTCTCTTTCCTCACTAGAAGCAGTTGTGTACTCATCATGAAGTTTCTTTATGTCATCACTTTTGATTCGGCATGGTGACACACCATGATAAGCATGTTTACAAAACGCACAAAATGCAAAGGAACAAGACGTGCAGATTCCCATTGACGACTCACTTTCCAGCATGACGGCAGTCTGACATGATGGGCGAGGACAGTAGACGATGTCCGACATTCCATCAAGACTATGCTGTAGCAAAAACCTGTCATACTTAGCAAATAACTCTGGACTAACAATTTCCTTCACTTGAGATGGAAGAGCCTGTGATTCGCACTTTTCCCATGGGCAGTTTAGTGCCTGAACAGCCCCATCCTCGATTTGAACTTTAAAATAGTCAGCCATGCAGTCTACACAAAAGACATGACTGCAGTCATGAAATTCCATGCACAAGGACCCAGGTTTTTCACCAAAGCAAACATTACATGTAAAATAGCTACTGCTGAAGACCCTTTTACTCTCTTCTTTGTCATACTCCACTATAACGTTGACTAAATTATAGCAGGAGGCCACATCCTGAAAAGCTCTTTGATCTGCTTTTCTTCTTGCGTTGCCTTTTCCATGAGCTCTTCTAAATCGCAGTGGGAAAGGACTCTTCAAGTTCAGTGTTGGGAGAGTCTCATCAAGAAGAAATTGCAGCCACCGAAACATAACAACTTCTCCAATGCCATTTTCAGACCATATTTCATCCAGATATTTGCAAAGTTTTGACAGCTGTCAAGAGCAAAGATAGAAAGGTAAAACAATGATTCAAAACAATTTTAATGGTCCCATGGCTGTCAAGAAGGGCGAGGGGGACAAAGGCCCCTGTCTTCCTGTCAGCTAGGTTTGGAGAATATCGTAGTCTTGCTCAAAGAACGATGAAAAAAAGTAAGAAGATGAGTAAACAATAAAGCAGCCAAGAGAAAACGCTGGCGTGCTGTTCAAAGTTTATTTTTCCAAAGCGTTTGACGAAAGGACAGCTGTTGTCAGATTGGTAACAGATGATCTGTTACCAATCTGCAGATTCTGCCAAGAAAGCGCGAAAAAAAGTAGACTATTATCTCACCTGAAACACCGTCAGCCACTTACACGATAACGTAAATAATGGAGGGCTCCTGGAAGGATAGTCTTTCGGGAATCTGAAGTTCAGCACGATAGGAGGAAGGTATTGCACCTCAAGAACGTCTTGGTCATCATTCGAGGCTCCCTGATCATTCGTTCGATTCTTCTGCTTCTTTAGTTCTTTTGGCAAATACCTCGACTGTATTTTCAGTTGGAAAGGCTTTGGTAAGTCTAGAAAAATATTGAGTTGTCCTCCTTTTTCCTCGGAAGATTGAATAAAAATTCGCTCGTCGTAAATCGATGCCAAAGCAAGTAATTCGTCTTCTTGACCTTCGTCATCCGCCATCTTGAAAACTGCTTGTGCAACACTCTTCACCAGTCTTTTACAACCAAATATTCCTGCATTCGCCCAACCTCGTCCCCAGGGTCTTCTCGCTTTCCAATATGGCGGCGGCAGGAGAGAAGACCCTGGCACACAGCAGAAATCACGTGACTGATTTGTCCACGGAGAGTGGAAATTTATTCAAAATGGCGGCCAAGATAAAGAGCGAGAGGATCTGGGTACGAGGTCTTGAGACTGGTGAAAAACAAACAAAATGGCGGCAAAGGCAGAACTCAAAAGAAGCTAAAAATATGAAAGAATACACTTACAAGCCACAGGAATACGGTAGAATGATATAGCGATCTTATTTTCTGTTCAATGACCTTCATTTGTTTTAAGCCTGAAAGTTCTAGCGCACACGGCTGTCTACAACTTAATTTCTCGATACCGACCTTTTTCACCGTTTTTTTTTGCCGTACCCTGAGCGCCAGAGGTTCAGGTTTCTTCTTTCGTGAAAAGGGGGAACTTTTTCTAACCGTAAGCGCAATTTATTTCTTCTTTGGAATTTCGAGAACAGACCTCTGAAGCCAGGGGATTTTTTGTCACGACGCTCTAAAACCTCTTCCGCTCCGAAAATCAACTAAGCATTAACTTGAGTCGCCGCAGACACTTTAAGCTGATAAGTTATCGTCAGTTTTGTTACAGATCTTCATGAGGTTTTTTACTATTGTTTTTCTATCTGCACAAATTTTAACTGAACTCTGATATGTAAAAAAACAATTTTTTTTTCTGAAAACAAGAACCAGAGAACACTATTTTGTTAATATAATTTGAGGAAACTTTGGTTGAAAATTAAACAGTTCCTTGGTCAGTTTGGATATTTTGTCACTTGAACTGGTACAGGTAATAAAATTATTGTCAATCTTCATCTACTTCACAGTTTTTAGACTTTGTTATTGGCTTTTGATATCTAACCCCGTTCACAGTGCTTCCGGGCAATAGAGATAGGGGCCTTATTTAATCTAGCAAAGACGATGGTATTAGTTCCCCCCCAAAAAATGCCAAGTGAAAAAGCCCAAGTACAAGAAGGTTGGAGGTCAAGCAGCTGAGGATCAAAAACAAATCCGAACTTCCAGTTGGTGAATAAATCATCCTGGATTGGTCCACAGAAAGCTTTACAGTTTTCATTGATTTATACAGTCTCTTATTTATTAGTGAAGAATAAGAAAAGGGGGGAAGGTGGGATGGGGGTTCAAAAAGACGGGGGCTTATTGTTAAAACTTTCTTTCACTGAAAAGGAGGGCTTATTTGAGAGAGGAGGCCTTAATAGAGGATTTAAGATGTTGTTATTATTGGGTTTTTTTTGCCTCTCAGATGTAAAAAAAAGCATTAACCCCGCTTTAATAGCTAGCAAAAGGTGAAGAGTTTTTCCATTGTTTCTAATATAGCAATCCAAAATGTATTCTCCACTTTGAAATAGATTTGATTTTTAGAGCAAAAACTTTCTTAATCCCTGACTTTGGTTTATTTCACATATTACTTGGGGCTGCACTTTGCCATGTCAATGTGCAAATTGACTAAAGGCTAGACTCCAGTTGTTCAAAAATTTGATAGTCCTATCTGAGTCATGTGCGCAGTGAAAATTCCTATCTCATTTGGAGATAATAGATGTTTTAAGTCAAACATGCTTTGCTCGTCAGATGGGCCCTTTCGTACTCTAATTGAGACATGACTTGGTAGTGGTGTGCTGATTATCGATCATAATCTATAAAGCATCAGAAACCTAAAGCAAAGTGAGTATTGCTTATACAAATGTTCAGTTGATTGTTGTGGAAAATTCATAAAAACATTGTTGACAAATAAGGACATTAATACACCTGTGTTGTCTTTTTGATGGGGTCTTTATTTAGTTTATATGATGTTTAGTTGGTTTAACTATGTGACAGATAAGCCTCTGCTTGCAGGGTAGGTTTTTTGTTTTGTTCACTTACAAAATTATTTTCAGTGTTAAAAGTGGCACACAGGGGGCACAAAACTATAATCTACTATAATCGATTATCAGTTTAATAGTTGGGTTAATCTGATTATTTCTGACGATATGATTATAATACAGACACTATTTTTAAGACTAACCAACACCTTAAAGTAGACTTGGAAAGTATTTAAGCCAGCACATCTAACAGCTGCAACCTCACACCACAACACCTAAACAAGCTAAAAGCCTTGCCTTGTCCCTGTGTGGCATTTCCCAAGGCCTTAATTCTTGGTCAATTCATTTCGGCAAACTGGAGGGAAACTGTTTCACTATTTCGCTTGGGACCACGTGACCTAAAACTCATTGGCCATGACTAGGCAACTAAAAGCTCACTATGCTAATGGGGACTCTGGCACAAAACACTTCAAAAGCCTTTGCATCCCGACATGAAAAATCCCATGATCGAGATGCTCCAGGCCCCTTCCGCTCTTGTTTATTCAGTGGATAGTGATATATGCACCCTTTGAAGTAGTTTATTTTTTAAATCCAAGTTTTAGAACTGAATTATAGCTGCTTCACAATCATACCCAGCTGGTGTTGGAATACTACAGTACCAGCCACTTTTTTCACCTGGTCCACAAACCCCTTTTCAAGGATATAGTGACAAGAACAACATGCACACTTAGCCTACAGTAATTAGAAGCTCAATTGACAGGTTTTAGTTTGACAGAAAACGTATTTATCTTGGGGTCACTGTCACCCCATGTCTGGAATCTGGGAAATTTTTCTCTTGGAATCTGGAATAAAGGTCCTAAAGTACTCTGGATCCCACTTATAACTGGAATCCGGAATCCATGTTCCACTGACAAAGAATCCAGAATGCAGTATCCATGGTGCAAAATTGAGAATCCAAGACTGTCAGATTTCCTTGAATGGGCTGATCACTGTTTTCAACTTGATAAAATAAAAGACATCATGTGCTTTCATTTATTTTATTTTTGCAACTAGAAAGAAATCCCACAAGCTTCAATACATCAATATGTAAGTCTTTCATTTCTGAGAAAGGAAACAGTTTATTTTCCCAATGTCTCTGTATTTAGCTGTATTTTACTGCCAATGAAATGAGCAAATAATAATAAATTATCATTATTGTGACACTAAAAACTGAATAAATGAAAAGTCAGGATTAAAAATATCAAATGATAGCGACACTATGTTTGGCTTCAATTTTTAGTTTTGTTTCGACATCTGCCTCTCTCGCTCCTCGTCCCCCTTCAAAATCACAGTGGAGAAATTAAAAGAAGGCCAGGTTAGGCCCATGAATGTTACGATCAAATGAAAAGAATGTTTCACTTGACAAAAAACTGCTGAGACAAAGCGCAGATTATGCAAGATTTCCGTATAACCCCATACATTAATAATATTATGCATACAGCTTTTGTTCAAAGAAAACAAAAGGCAGAACAATACTACACCTTTACAACGGGCAGCTAAATTTATTGATAAGCTGAAGCCTTGCAAGTATTCTTTCACAAATCGGGAATTAAAGAAACAAATCTTTAGTAATTTTCGGAACACACAAACCAAATAGCACGAGTAACAGAAATACCTCTACGCGTTATAATATTCCCAGCGATTACCAGATATCACTATATTCGAATCTTTGCCTTCCAACGGTACAGTCACAGTTTTCCGAACAATCAGACCTGAATTCTGTCCACCTTTTAGGTCTCAAACACTGAAGAAAGCACTTCTCAGCCTCTACGAAACCCTCAAAGGTTAACCATCTTTGTTTTGGAAGGAATAAACCAATGAGAGCGCACGTATGAACGCGCTATGGAATGCACCAATCAGCGATCGTTTTAGTTCGCTGTGTGCCAGGGTCTTCTCTCCTGCCGCCGCCATATTGGAAAGCGAGAAGACCCTGGGGACGAGGTTGGCATTCGCCAAAAGATTTTTTGGGACCACTTTTCAAAAGCTTGGTAACCATTCAAGTTTCTACGAGTGGAACCTAGGCTCCAATAGGGCTCCAAAATGGCGGAAACTAGTTCTCACTTCTTTTCGCTCCCTTCGAGCAAGCTTTCCTTTCATTTCAGTGACGGAACGACAGCGATTAAAGCTTGGAATGTTGGAAGAGAAGGACACCAATTGTTCCAGAAGATTATGAAGAAAGATTACCCGTGGCGAAGTAAAAAGTGTTCCCAAAATATTTGGACAGTCACAACAGAGATAATTTGGGACCACTTTGAAATCCGAGATACTACAGTTATGACGTTTCTATGTACATTTTTCTCTGTAACTTAATATTTTTGGCGGGAATTTGGCGCACAGTTCTTTCTGTTTAGTTGCCTGTCGACGACAGATAACAAAACTTTTCTGTCCGGTGTAAAGTTTATAGTCTGCTACTCCATTTCACTTCCCTAAGGATCGGTGTACATCATGTGTCTGAAACCGAAAGGCATTCAGAATTTAAATAATACTTGCTTTGCAAATAGTGTTTTGCAAGCTTTGTTATCAGTGAAAAGGTTTTCAAAGGGCCTTGAAGGCACTGAACATAGCAGAGACAAATGTGTTGCCAGAAGAACAGGTGAGATGTAGTCCCCTTTTTTCCTTTCTTGTATATTTTTTTATTAGGAAAGTATGCTCGTCAGTTTTGAACATCATGCAAGTATATCTGAAGTTCTCCTAGACTGCTCAAGTGCATACTCACACTCAACTATTTCAAAGGGGTGACCTTTGCTATTGCAGTGGCGGATCTAGTGGGGTGGGGTGGGGGACACCCACCACCCCCCATTTTTAGACTACACTGAGGCCTAAAGAGCCAAAAAAATTGTTTGGTTTTCCTTCGGCCATTCCCCACTTAAATAGTTATTTCAGCCCAAAGTTCACAAAAAAAGAAAACTTGGTCACTGGAAGAATATTGGTTCAGTTTTATTCACTCAAAAGCCTCTGCAGAAAATAAGCTCAGTCCTTGGACATTATCTTATAATAAAAATGATAATAACAATAATATAATTATATTTATTTAGGGGCATAGCCTGGGCCTACATTTTCTTCATTGGATCACTCAACCACTTGTAATAAATAACCCAAGTTTGATATATGAAAAAATTCTAACATGACTCCAAGGCTTTAGGGTGGAAACTGCAAATTTCTCGCAACCCAATTGTCTCCCAATTCCCGGAGACTTGAGCACAAAAAAAAGAGACCAAATATAGAGGAATGACCAGAAATCCTTGGAGTCATGTTAGAGTTATATGAATATATCAAATGTGGCCTAATTTATGTGTTGTCTGGGCAAGCCAAAAAGCTCTAAATTTAGGTCAGTTCAGTGCATACCAGTCATGCTTGCAATCAAGAGAGTTGTAAACCAGAATTTCTCAGGACATGTGAAATGAAATTATTGGCGGCAATAGACCAGGCTTACAACTAGTGGAAAAGTTGGTTATGCCTCTGTTATTATTATTATCATGTAATATTGTTATGTATAAGTAGGCAAAATGTGATGAACACCACCAGGCAGAATTAAACTTCAACAGGCTATTAATGCTTTAAAGCATTCTTGGTATAATAATTTTATTGATTGTGATGTTGGAGTAATAATATAACAATTTTGAAGTGCAACACAGAACCTTATCAAAACCTTCACATTGGCAGAAACTGGAAATACTGAAAATAACTCCTACAAACTTTCTAGGGTGTCACAAGCTCCTCGTGTATAAATATATTTGTCTGTATTTAAAAACAATAATTTACACATGGAATAAAAGTACCATTAAAATCAACAAAAAATTGTCCACTTCATTGGTAAAACAGAACAGAACACTATGTAACTCCCCACCCCTCTGAAGTATTCCAATCAAGTACAAGTGATCAGCAAGCAAAAAAAAAAAATAATCCTAGTCAAAATAACTTGTATTTATCTTCCCCAGCAATCCAAAGTATTCTTTTCTGCTCTAATTGATTTTCCACAGGAAAACCTTGCATTGTGTGTAGCACCAAATCCTTCACCACTGCCTATGAGACTGCTCCTGGTTTAGTTTATCCAGCTACTCTTATGAGCATGCTTCCCAACATAAACTCCAGGTTTCAAAAAGGGGTACAACAATGTGCTGCTGAGTTCTTTCAGGAATACTGTCGTTATCTTGGCTATAGATTCAACGAGTGCCAAAACAATGGTTTCATTCCCCAGCACATTGATTTGTCATATTTGAAAACATTTTTTTTCAATCTGAGAAGTGAAATACTTTGCTTGAAGTGTAACACTGTGAGCTGCAACTCTAGCATGGAGACACTTCTTCTTCTTCACCTTGCCCAGGTAACAACCTACGTGTAGTATAATGAAGAAGTAGAAAAGAGAAGATATGTTAGGTCTCAGCAAATGATCACTGATATGGTGGCTTATTTTCTGAAAATACATCTTGAAAGCATGCTAAACAATCATGGTTAACATACTGATCACATCTTGTTAATTACTTGCCAAATTAACCATCACAGGGTCAAAAGTCAATAATGAAAGCCGCTTGGAAAATACAGTGTTACTATGAAAGCCACAAAACATACATATAAGGCTGGTTTGTCACAAGAGATCAAACACTTGCACTGTAAAGAATGACTTCTCCTAACCTGGAGGTGTTACTGCTACTTTTCCAAAAAACTTTTTAGAAAATAACAAATATATAAGCCTAAGGGTGAAAAGATAGGGAGATTTCCATTACTTTGTACTCCTTTGTACTTTCTTTTAATTATGAATTATACTGACTGAGGGGTTAAAAGGGAAATGGGAAAAGTAGCAAGGAAAATCAATTGTTCTGCTATTCAAATGATTTTAATCACATTTTCATTAGGGAAGCAGTCTTCAGGAGCTTGTAAAGGCTCATAGCCAACCAGTACAGCTGGAGACACCATACATGTGCTACAAGTAAGCTGTACATGACTGTCACTTTCCTGCGTGTAACTAACATGGATCAATAGTTGATTATTACATGGGTTTCGTGGACCTGAGGCTTCATTTCTTGTAATATCATTGATCTCGAAATCCATACATTGCTATCCTTTTGAAAGTCTCTACAGGGGGATCATGTGCTGCTGCTGAAATAATACTGGAAAAGTGAATGAACATTGGGATTGGCTATTGGCTTGCACACACTCAATATGTGATAAAATTGATAACATTATGCAAAAAAGGATGAGTACCATTATACTAGAACCGGGAAAAAATGGAAACAAAACAGATAATTACATTCCTAGGACAATGATGTGGAAATACTCTTGCAAAGCCAAAAAAAAAAAAGAAATACATGACAAATAGGAATAATAAATGTACAAAATAAGAAAAAAAAATAAGGATTAAAATGATGTTAAATACAGAGTTGTAACACAATATTAACATGCAATTATAAGATATCTTATTTTTTAAAATTTCTTCACTTAAAGATTGGAAGCACGTCCTTTTTCACAATTATTTAATATTCTTTTACTAGCTGCAAAGATCAAACTGAAGCTTGGAAGCGTTTGGTTATTGGCAAAGTACCTAATACCATCTGTCTCCAACTCTTGCGTTTCAATTCCAGTGGTGATAAGATCAAGCAAACAGTAAAGTATGATGAAACCCTCACACTTACTGAAGTAAGTGGGGCGGATAAATCAGGGTCAACAGGAAGTGCTTTAGTACCTTACGAGCTTGTCGCTGTTGTAGTGCACCTCGGAAATAATCTATCTTCAGGTCACTATGTCTGCTTCATGAAAAGGAATGGGTTGTGGTATTGTGCTGATGATGCTCGTATCAAAGAATGCACTGCATTTGAGGCCACTAGCCAACAAGCATATCTATTATTTTATGAAAAGGCTGATGCTTCTGATGTCCCTGAGGTAGAAGTACCACACAACCTGAGTTCTTTTCCATCAGCAACTGACAGCAAGCAAAATCCTTCCAAGGAAAACATGCAAATCCAGCAAGCTACTCCACCATCCTTTTACATCACCGAACCATGTTTTGATGTGCAAACTGCAGCAGTTTGTAAAACTGCAAAAGGAAGCCCTGCACTACAGTACATGTCAATATGTGACTCAGAAAAAGAGCAAGCTGAACTAATTGTGACCATGGGGCATACCATCCAAGACCATCCCAGAACAAAAGGTTGGCAAGAGCAAGACCTACGTAGACTTTTGCCAGGACAAGAAGAGGAAGGATCTTGGCTGAACAACTTTGTCCTTAATAAGATCTTCTTACTAATAGAGGAGAAGGCCACAGCAGTTGGCAACAAGGTCAGGACCCTTAACTCAGACATCTTCACAAGGATGATTACATCTTCCACAGAGACATTCAAAAAATACAACTTTCACCAATTGTATCCTAACATCTTTGATTCAGAGGTCATTCTCGCACCATTCAACCATGGTAGGCACTGGTGTCTGGTTGTTGTAAGCATGAAAGAGAAGATGTCCATATACTTGGACTCCCTATATAATGGTGCAGGTGCAAAAATGGCATTTTCAAGAATGAACAACTTTTTGACCTCCTCGGCTTCTATTTTGGGAAGGAACTGGGACATGCATGACTGGAAATATTTCGCGATTCCCTCCTCTGACATACCACAGCAACTGAACAGTGATGACTGTGGAGTATTTGTAGCCAAATGGGCACAGCACATTTCTGTGGGTCTGCCACTTGATTTTTTCTCACCCAGACATAGTTAATTTCAGGTACTCTCTTATTCTTGACATAGCAAGAAATGCACTATCAATGGACATAAAAGTTCCCAGTACTCAAACCAGGAAAGAAACACTCAAAAGAACCACAGCAGCATCAAGCCAAATGAGCACAACAAGTACTCCACACAGAGTCTCTATGACCAATGAAACATCAGTCTCCGACAAAGTCACCCCTGCTACCTCACCAATCAACCAAGCCTCTGCTGCCAAACAAACATCACTATCCAACAAAGCCAGGCCTACTACCAAACCAATCAGCCAAGCCTACTCTGCCAAACAAACATCATTAGCCAACAAAGCCACTCCTACTACCTCATCTAAAAGCCAAGCCTCTGCTTCCCAACAAACATCAGCATCCAACAAAGCCAACCCTACTACCTCACCAAACAGCAAAGTCTCTACTGGGAAACAAACCTCAGTATCCCAAAAGGCCAACCCTACTGCCTCGCCAAACAGCCAAGTCTCTGCACCAAAACAAACCTCACTACCCAACAAAGCCACCGCTGCGACCACACCAAACAGCCAAGCCTCCACTACCGAACAAATATCAGGATCCAAAACAGCCAACGCTGCCACCTCACCAAACAGCCAGGCCCCTTCTTCAAATCCAACATCTGTATTCAACAAAGCTCCCCTTACTACCAAACCAATCAGCCAAACATCTGGTACAACAAATCACTCAAATACTGATCATAGTTACTTCCAACCTCTACCAACCAAGAAGAGAAAACTTGATCCCACAGTTCTACCTCACAATGTTTCTGCCATCCTTCCACATGAATATCAATACAAATGTTTACAATATGAAGAATTGCCTGGTGAAATGATTCAAGATAGCTTCAGAGTGCAATTCTGTATTAAAGATATAGCATGCAAGGAAGATGTTGACAAGTGGTTATCAAAACTTGCTACTTCATCCAACATAAAATACAATACAGAAAGTGGGGGTCATGCAAGGAAAGGAAAGAGAGTACTCTTTGCAGGACAATATATTTGCCAGTGCAAACGCAAAAAATTAACCAAAAGACAAGAAGATGCTAAAAAGAAAGCACAACAAAGGAAACAGCTACGAAGGCAAGCACACCCGATGAATACCACAGAAGATCAACTTGACCTCTAGTCCAAAAACAGGGACAAGAAGACTGACTGCCAAAGCAAAATGAGTGTGAAAATTTTTACCAAACGTGCAATAAATGAAATGTGTGAAGTTGAATTATGGTGGAACCACAATCACAGCGTCAACAGCTTTCACCTACAGAGTTTCTGCCCTATCCTTCCATCAACAAAGGCTACCTTTGAGAATTATTTTGAGATGGGTATGTCTGCCTCAGAGGCCTTCCACCACCATGAGACAAAGCTTATGCAGGATTCTGTGTCAATAATGCTACTGGCAGATAGAAAATATTGCCCCTCACTTACCGATGTGAAAAACATGTATGGTAAATGGCAAATTGACAGAAAGGGGGCCCCTAATGGACAAGAAATGTTTAACACTCTTGAAGCCATTATTAATGAGTATAATAAGAAAAATTCTCCCAAAGGAGGGAAATGCTTTCTGCAAACATATGAAAACTCTGGCAACTCAGAGAAGCCATTGATTGTTGCAATATGCACACCCCTTATGAGCAGGGTTCATCATTTAACACAGGCAGGTGAAATGGCCTTCCTTGATGCTTCCGGAAGCCTTGATCGATTTAACAACCCAGTCTACTTTATGTGCACCCACCACCCCGCTGGAGCTCTCCCACTGGGTGTGTGGATTACATCTGGCCAATCACAACATGTAACAAAACAATGCCTGGAAAAGCTCCAAAATGTTCTGCCCCAACATGCCTTTGGTACTAGAGGGCCAAAAATGGGTCCACAAATTTTTATGACTGATGATGACCAAGGGCAGAGGGGTGCTCTTTCTGACATTTGGAAGGAATGCCAACTTTTACTCTGCGCTTTTCACTTTCTTCAAGCTGTCTGGCACTGGCTATTCAATGCAAACAACAACATCAACAAAGACGATCGCCAACATTTAATGAGTCATTTCCAGAAACTTGTTTACTCAGGGACAGAGAAAGAATTTCTTTCAGCAGCAAAAATTGCATTAAATGATAAGCTTAATGTCAAGTATCCCAACTTTCATGAATACCTAAAAAGGTCATTAAAGCGACACCGAGAATGGGCCCTCTGTTGTAGAAGAAACCTATTAACCAGGGGAAATAACACTGATAACTACACTGAATCAATGATCAACATATTTAAGAGCGTGATTCTTCATCGTATCAGAGCATACAACTTGATTGAGCTCTTTAAGTTTATTACAGAAGACCTAGAAATGTATTTTCAAAGGAAACTGCTCGCCCTTGCTTTTGGCAAAACACAGAATCTCCATCTAGCTCCAAGGTGCTTTGGTGCAACAGGCCTAACCGTGCAGCTTAGCATGATCACGCAAAACAGTTCTGACCCTTGCAAATTCCTTGTTCCCAGCAGATCTGATTCAGGAGTCACCTATGAGGTCAACTGCCAAACTGGTATCTGTTCTTGCCCCATGGGGAGCAATGGCAACCCCTGTGCACATCAAGCTGCTGTTGCCCTAAAACATGGAATTGCAGGGATTAACTTCATTCCACAGAAACCCGAGGAAAGATTTAACCTTGCAAAACTTGCCATTGGAAACCATCAGGAACTCCAGCTACATAAATTTGTCCACCTGCATGAAAGGACATCCATCGACTTGTGTGTTGACAGCAATGACCATGTTGTACCCATGGACACAGACTCATTGGCTACTCCAGCAGATGACTCTTGTGGCAGCCCATCACCAAAGAAAGAAGTGGAATTGAAAGACATACTCAAACTGCACAAACAAGTAACCGATGACATTGAATTGAAGCTAAAAACAACTGACAACAACTTCAGGGCCTGCTATATGAAATATATGGAAGTGTATAGAAAAATAATTTCAAAAGCAAGAGGTCAGGCTCCAGTTGCAGCACTTGCAACAGCTTTTGTGAATTTTGGGAAAGATCGAAATGGGCTAACCCTACCTATTCTTCACAATAGTAGGGCCAAAATCCGAGTGCAGCCCACATCAATATCAAGACGAAAGTCCAAGGCAAAATCTTCAAGATCACAAGTGCCAGGTCGAAAGCCATCACTAAACGGAGTAAAGGGATTAAGAAAAGGTGACAAACAGCAACTAAAGTTAAGAAAGACTGCCTCCAGCTCAAAACGCAAACGTAATCTGGCAGAAAATGTCAAACTGAACCTTCCAAATGCTGGACATGCCCGCTAATACAGTGGAACCCTGTTTAACATGGTCACAATGGGCCAAAAAAATTTAGCTGTATTGACAGGTGACCGTATCAACAAGGGTTTTTTTACAAGGAAATGTATGGGCCTTTTTGCCAGGTGGCCAAAAATAACAAGGCGGCCGCATTGCCGAGCTGGCCATAAGGCGGGGTTTTACTGTTATAGTTAAAACTCAAACTTCATGCTCTGGGCTCCAGTTTTAACTTAATGCTTTTACAGATGTTGTTCTTTGCATGTTAATTCAGCCAGAAAAGCATCCCATCAGTCTGTGACACGTGATTAACATCAACTTTGAGAAAACTACATGTACTCAATGGAGAAAAATGTTCCAATAACTGCAAGTCAGTCAAAGTTAGGCTCAACCAGCGGGTGCTGTTCAGGGAAGTGGACCCACGCTTCTCCCTGGAGGGAACAAAGACAGTTCTCAAGAGAGCAGCAAGAACCATGCCCTGTCTTAAGTCTCTATGAGATCAAATTTCATAATGACAGCATGTTTTAATCAAGTTAAATCAATATATTAATTATTATTAATAACTGTGAAGGTATAAGTTGAAGAAACATACGGCTATGGTGTATAGTTACAATGCTGAAATTAACATTGATACCAGATATACTATATAAAGACAGAACAATGATGTACTGGAGATATACTAACAGGAAATGTGACCTCTACAGACAGCCGTTCATGCCTTTAAAGGTCAGTTCTTGCTAGCATAATTTCAAGTTGGTTCTATAAACGATGTGAACTTCGCATCAATATGTTGTTCCCGAAAAATATCCATACTTTTTTCACGGAAAGTTTTCTGGATTTCTACCCTCCCTTCTCCCCTAGACACTCATGGACAAACCTCACTCACCTGCAGCCTTTCTGCAAAGTTTCATAATTTTGGCATTTTTAGGACTCACTTTCCGCCCATAATTCCTAGATTTGTTTGTATGGATATTGTCTGGAGCCACACAAATAATTATTATCCACTTTTTACTGCCCATTCCATATGTATTCCGTTTGTTAGGATAAACCTCACGGGTTTTTGGGGTTAGAATATTACATTCAATTTTTGTGATATCCGGAATGATCAAGATTGAGGTAAGTCTTATATCAGCCAAGCTGAAGGCCAAGGCTGGTAACACGTACCGAGACCTTGCTTATTCTGGATATCATAAAAACTGAATATAATAATACATTTTATTGCACATTGTTTTGAAATAATTAATCACAAATATGCCAGCGTACAGAACTGTTTTGACATTGCTCTTTGAAATCATAGAAGTTAGCAGATAACTAACTAATCTGTACCAAAAGTAACTGTAGCCTCGTAGTCAATGATGAGATAGATAGTGCAATGATACAGTTTGTAAATAATAAAACAAATACAGTACTTGTTGTTAGAGAAAGGATCACAAAAAGCCGTTATAATAATTAATTTGCCCCTTAGGTGAACATTGGGCTCCCACCTACTTGTATTAGTATTAAAACTTTGTGATAGGATATCATGATTGAACATGTTTTTTTTTAACCCAATGTAAATGGGGTTGTGGTAAATTGAATTCTGCATAAGAATTGAGATTATAAAGTATTAAAGCTGATAAACAATCTCTTCTCCAGTTTTTACGTACTTCTCACTTTCAAAAAATTTAAGATAGTTCGGCAAAGTAAAAAGTGTTCCCAAATTATCGTGTAGGAGACTTGGCAGCATATTTTGGGACCATTTCTTCATCACCAACCTTAAAGCGAACTAGAAAAACGTAAATTACTCTACAATATGTACTTACCTCTCCTGTATTGTGATGAAACTCATCTGTACGCTTTTTATCCAAGAACAATGCGAATTCCGTATTGTAAACTGAGGTGTTCATAAATCGCAGTCACATAGACAATCACATTTTCCGCCATTTTTGAGCCTGGTTGGAGCCCAGGTTTCACTCGTAAAGACTTGAATGGTTACCAAGCTTTTTGAAAAGTGGTCCCAAAAAATCTTTTTTCATGCTACAAAACTAAGTAGTCAGTCACGCAACATAGTCTCTAGGCCTTTTCCGATGATTGTGCTCGACAACTTTTGAGCAACTTTTTGCGGTTCTAGCAACCTCGAGAAAATTTTGCCTTTCTGAGCAACGTTTGAGCAAAATATAGGTTTAGAGCACATGTCAAGCACGAAAAAGTCAACGATTTCATAGAAAACTTCAATTTTCAAATTTTTAAATTTTTTAAATTTTTAAATCGTTTTTTTTTTCTTGACCGATGTAAGTAATTATTATGAAGAACGAAAAATATAGCTTTTAATTAACGTTTATATAAAATTATCAAGAAATTTAGGTGGCAACTTTTGAAACTTAGGCGTGAGTAACTTTTTGGATTTTTGGCAATTTTTTAGCAACTTTTTGGCATTCCAGTGAGCAACTTTCCAGCATTTTACGAGCACAGTAGGGAAAGGCCTAATCCTGGCCTTTTTGTTTTTGTTGGTTTGTTTATTTTTGGCCAGAAGCCCGTAATTTAGACCATACGCTCCTTTGCATAAATACTTACCTAAAGAAACTGAGGGAACCATCTAAGTTCCAAGCTTGTCCACCCCTCCTCCCCTGCCACAAATTCCCCAGGGTGCACAACGGGATGACCTGGTGATGAGCATGCTTTGCCTTATGGAACCTACTGAACCACTCAAGTGCCCGGTGATATTCCGTAGCGGTGAAGCTCCCCAGGGCGTAAACCAACTAACCACGCGAAAGACAAGCCACGCGAAAGACTTCGTAAACGCTAAAAGCCATGCAAGAGAGAAACCACTACTCGCAGGAAAATCATTCAGGGACATGGTCTGTTGAAAGATAAAAGCAGAAAATATCTTTACAATCAATCAAAATGATGTCAAAATGAAGTGTAGTTTACTCCGGGAGTGTACAGCAAAACTGTTTAAGAACTTACAAGATTTTCAAACATCATCATGTAATTTCCATGGTTTATTAATTTAATCATAAAGTGACGCCCAATCACAAAATGGGCACGAGGGGGCCTTCATTTTATGATTGGGCGTTGCCCTCACAGGCATTCTCATAGGCCGCCCAATAATTTAGATAGGTTAGAAGAGGCACGATAGCGCTAGTATTTATAGACCCGAACCTGAGACAAACAAACTGAGCGAATTCATAACTTTTGTTTGACTTTTGTCATTAAAATGTCATGTTTGTCTGTCTTTTGTCATTAAAATAAGAAAAATGACAAAGCACAGACCGCAGGTGGCCCAGACTCTGGGGGAGTTCGTTATACGTCCTCAAGTTCCATTTTTTGACAAAAACAGAAAGAAAAAAGACTCACCTTGTGTTTTTTGTTTTTTGTTCTTCTAGAGCCATTTGGAACGTCGATAAAACGGATTCCAAATGGCTCTTGAAGCAAAGTAAATAGCAGTAAATAACAAAACAAAAACACAGCGTGAGTTATTTTTATTTCTATTTTTGTCAAAAAAAAGACGTATTTTGTATATTTTCGTACATTCTCTTATAAATTCAAAGTCAAACGAACTCCCACAGAGTCTGGGTGATATTCACAAAGCGAAACGAAAATAGAGCCTGATCTCAGGTTATTAAATCACGGTGCAATTCAATCCCGGAAGGAATTTATAGTCCAATTTATGGAAAAGAAAAGTCGTAATCTTCTATCTAGTCAGTTCAGTTAACGGGAGGAAGCCAAAAGGTTTTGAAGAACATGATTGTTTCAAAGTAGAACTTCTTACCAAAACAGGAAGTTTGCCAAACCGTGACCATAAGTAACAAATAAATAGCTCGCGGAGGGCGGTGTACGTGATTTGTAGATGCACTAGTGCTGAGAACAATAGAAAACAAAATCATGATAAAGGAGCGTGCAATTGAATGTGTGCAACCCAGTTTGAAGAGAAGCTGAACGAAACTTTTGTCCGTTGGTGCTCTTGACGATAAGCCATCATCATCATCATGTCCTGTGCTATTGATGAAGGAACCTACATCATTGAAAATGTCGAGACAGAACGCTATCTGTTTCAAGATGGAGAGAAGATTAAGGGCAACAGAGGAGATGAAGGAGGTTGGTTAGCCTCTTCTGGATTTCAAGCGCCTCCTGTGTTGGGAGCTGATGCAAATTATTACAATCGTGCCTACTGGAAGATCATTCCTCAAGGCGATGACAGGTACTTTGTTGAAAACGTGGAAACCAAGAGGTACCTGTTTCAAGATGGAGAGAAGATTAAAGGCGAGCGAGGAGACGAAGGTGGTTGGTTACCCTCATCTGGCTTTCAAGCGCCTCCTGTGTTGGGAGCTGATGCCAATTACTACAATCGTGCTTACTGGAAGATCATTCCACAAGGCGATGGCAAGTACTTTTTTGAAAATACTGAGACGCAAAGATATCTCTTTCAAGATGGAGAGAAGATTAAAGGCAAACGAGGAGACGAAGGTGGGTGGTTACCGTCTTCTGGCTTTCAAGCACCTCCTGCCTTGGGAGCTGATGCAAATTACTACAATCGTGCTTATTGGAAACTCCACAAGCAATAGACTAACGACAACAAAATGTCAAGTCGCGAATTTAGAAGACCGTATATTGGCTCCATTTTCAGTTTCGGAGTAATGTACTCCAGCTCACCGAATCACACCTTTTTGCTCGGTCGCTTAATTCCGGGGGCTGGAAGGGGGGTTTTACTCCCTACAGTGACCTTAATTACTGGGATCCTCCGCCCGAAAGGAGCAACATTTTTCAGGCTTCGGCATATGAAAGGGTCGCGATTTCACTAGTTGAAGTATATGAAAGGGTTGGGAAGTCTGTCATTTCGGCCGGTAAAAAGGCTCAAAAGGCTAATATGCATTTTATAGCTGTAAAAACGTAGAGAAAACGCCGGGGCCGAGCCTCTCAGTATGAAACTTTGCTGAGTGCCCTCCTGGCCGCCCGGTTTGTTATACTGTGTTGAATACTCTACTCGCATATCGCCCATAGCCCTAGGGGGTTGTGACTTTCATTAATCACAA